CCGTGGGCGGCCGCCTGACCCGGGCCAGCGTGTCCAGGCGGCCCGGGAGCGCCTCTCCCGGAGCCCCGGCCCCGCCGGCCCCGCCTCGGCAGCAGGTCCCGGCCCATCCCCAGACCCGCGCCCCGTCCCTAGGCGCGGCAGGAAGGGGCGCCGGAGCCGCGGGCGCAGCTCAGAGCGGGTCGCGCCGGGTCCATCCTCGCGATCACGGTCCAGGGAGTTTCCCTCTTCCCCGGGCCCCGGGGGTCAGGCGGGAATCCGGGTCCTTCGTTTTCATGCCTGTCCGCGGCGGTGCTGAAAGGGCCTCCCTCCCGCTCTGGGTCGCTTCTCGCGCCTCCTCTCTCACCGCGGGGCGCCTGTGCGGCCGCTGCTTGCGATAAAACAGACGCCTCATCCTCACCAGTGAGGGAAGTTGACGTTTTTAAAAGGGCACCCTTGCGGCACCCCCCCCCCGCCCACCCCGGAGGGGCTAGAGACGCCTCACAAGCCATCGCCAGCCCCTGCAGCACAAATTCCACCCCCAGCCGGCCAGGAGCAGCCCTCAGGGCGCAGCAGACCTGCCTGTCTGTGCCCTGCTCCCCTCAGCAGTGGGTTTCAGTGGCTCTGCCTGTTCTGCTCCCCGCTCTGTCTCTGGAGAGTCCTCTCACCACCACACCCCGCGTACGTCTGGCCTGTACCCCAGCTCTTGCATTGCATAAATTAAAAAAAAAAACTGTAAAGCCTTACTTCTGAAAGTAGAATAAAACCCCTTCCCAGGCCCAGACAGCCACCGCACATCGTGCTGCGCGCTGTAAACACGCAGACACGCAGCTCTTGTCTCTGAAGACCGCCCGCCTGTGCCCGTGTGGGGGTTTCTCTTCTTTCCTTCATAAACCTGCCATGTGCTGATGCATGGAACATCTGCTGAATCCTTTCTCAGGGGGACTAAGAACCCCACGAGCCTCACCTCACCATTTGAATCCCAACCATGTGAACCTTCTTTGGGTGTGTGATCACAATTTACCTAGATTTGTGAACTTTCTCTCCTCATCAATAAATACACTTGTGGAATATCTTTATTTCCAGAAACATTCAAATGCAAATTATTCAACACACTAAAATGATCATCCAAGACTATAAGTGATAGACTATTAAATCCAACTCCTCGATTCTACTAAACGTTAATTTAAATCTTATCAGAAAGGCCCATTTTATCCTTGAATAAACCTTGGTCCTTTCAGAGGCTGAAATTGACGTCTGCCGCCACCTTGTGGAGCTTTTCCCCCACCCCAGGCTAGTACAAGGAGCGCTGAGGCGCTGGATCCTTGCAAAAGACAGTTCCCGCTTTCCCAGCGGCTTTTTATTTTTCACACATACATATCTATTTTTCAAAGCGAGGCAACGTTGGTTTACATTGTAATTTGGAAGTATAGGATCCTTCCTTGGCCCCCTCCCGCCCTTTTCAGGACTGTTACTAGATACACCACTACGGAAGCACCCCTAGTCCTTCACCATGGGCCCCTGTGCACCCTCCCCAGTTTGTGCTTGTGCCTCCCTCCTCGCCCTCTGACTATCTTAGTTCTAGAGTCTGCTTCCAAGGGTTATTTTTTAGTTTCGCTTTATCTGACCCCTTGTCTGGGTTCTCTACATTCCAGATACTCATTGCACCATCTGGTTTGTCTTTCTCAGTCTGACTTCACTTACATAATCCCCTCCAGCCCCATCCACGAGTTTATCTTTTTTGTTCACTGTGTAGTATTCTATTATGTATAGATAGAGTACATCTCTTTTTTTTTATTTATTTTTGCATAGAACTGGGGTGCATGCCAGAGGTGCGGGGTGGGAGTGAGAAGTGTGAGGGGTTGAGAGGACCCACCAGAGACAGAGTGGAGAGCAAAACAGGCAGATCCACTGAAATTCACTGCTGAGGGGAGCAGCAGGGAGACTGGTCTGCTGCACCATGTGGGTAGCTCCCTGGCCAGGGATTGAACTCATGCCACAGTGGCTACAGATAGCTTCACAGTGCTGAGACTTAACCCCTGTGCCACCAGGGAGGCCATTCTGCTGGTTGCTTTAAAGGTGACAGACTACAGAGAAAGCATAATGGTTTGATTCCCAGCGTTGACCAGCTGACTGGCTCGCAGTGATAGCTACAGGACTTCTCACAAACCCTGCCGAAGGCCCAACGTTCATTCCCCCTTCCTCTCTTCACAGGCAGAGGCTGGCAGCTCCTACTCCCTCCCCAAAGCAGTACACAGAAGCAGCGTGACCCCACGGGGAGGATCCCCTCCTTTTGCTTATTCATGTGATGTCAGGCCCCAGACGTGGTTCTTCCCAGCCATGAGAATCTTTTTTCCTCTTTGTTTCTGATACAAAAAGTTCCTCTAAGCCAGTTGGCTGCAATACATTTGCTTACTCTGCCCAGTACCTGGATTTTGAACAATAAAAACCGTTCAATTTCCATAGGAAGATATTTACTTATGTAAGGGTCAAAATCCAAGGAACGTTACTTCTTCAGTTACCCATTTTCTTTTGCATCGATTTCTCAATATCTACTAATCATTTCCACCTGGACACAGGCAGCTGAAAACACATAAAAACAAAATTCCTTAACATTTCAGCATTCCACTGCTAGGTATACACTGGACAGGTGCATGCACCAACTCACCAAAAGACACACACAAAATGTTTCTATTTGTCTTAACTCAAAACCAGACACACCCCGACTGCCTATCGGTGGAAGAACATATAAACTGGCGCAGTCACACAATGGCGTAGTGCACGGCAACCACCACCACCAGCCTGCCATCACATCTCCACAACTCACAACCTATGTCTGTCATGGGCTCATCTCACAAACATAATTTTAAGGGAATTTCAAGGAAAGCCACTCAACAGAGTACCCAATAGGTCTCCTGACGCTATGAGACGTCAGGACAAGTCCTTGGAGGGAGGAGCGACTGGCAGAGACCTCTGGGTCCTGCTCATGGCCCAGTGCTTGAGCGGGGGTTGGTCTCATGGTTCACTTCCTGAAACGCGAGCCGTGTGCGAGCCGTGTGCGCTCCCATATGTTACACTTCAAAGAACTGTTTTTAAACATTCCACCCCTTTATCCGTAAAGGCAAAGGCGCAAGGGCAAACCTCACGTTCCCAGTGCAACAAAATGGGGAAACACGAGTGGCATTTAGCTACGTTTAGCCCAGCCCGGGCTGCTTTGCAGGGTGGGCCAAGAGCCAGCTGCGGGGACCGGCGGGTGGGCCAGGAAGTGCCCCCCACCCTGCACCTTCCTGCTGGGCAGCAGCCTCAGTCGGCACCAGCTGCTGCCCGGCCGGTGCCAACCCCACCAGCTGGCGTCTGGCCTTCCTGCACTGTGACCCGTGCTGCTTCTGTCCTGACTGCAGCGCCCCCAGTCAAGTGTATGGTGGCCTCCGTGTCCACGTACAGGCATGGGCCCTCGCCATGCCATGACCTGGTGGACAGGAAAAAGGGCTCTGACTGCTGAGGGCATCCCCAGCAGAGGATGCGCTGGCATGGGTGTCACCAGCCCACGACACTGGGCCGGGCTGGAGGCCACTCCCCAGGGCCCTCCTGGCCTGGGCTACCGCTGGGCCCGCCCTCCAGGCCCAAAATAAACTTCTCTGAAGTTTATTTTGTCCAATACGAAAGCTAAACTTTTCAAGGTCAAGCTACATGATTCCTGGTAGTAAGTGTGGAAACTAACAACTGATCAACACACAGAATGCAAAGAGGAAAACACCAAAGCAAGGATGGGAGCAAGTGGACAGAGGCAGGAGGGGCTGCCCCTCCTCCGGGGAGGACTCTGGGGAGGCCTGGACCCAGGGTGGGGCTACAGCTGCAAGCCCCTTCCCCACTAACCTCCCTACAGGGGGGCTGGGACCCATGCCCAAGGCAGCTAGTGCTCCCAAGCATTCTGGCCACTCAAGCAGGCCTGCAGGGCTGCTCCCCTGGCCGGGTCCAGAGAAGGCCATGAGGGTCTCCAGCACCCATGCCCACAAGGGAAGGGCTGGCTCCGCAGCTGAGACCACCACCCTGGATGGCAGGCACAGGGTCTGGGCCACGGTTCCGAGGCCCCCGGGGACAGCCCTTGTGTCGGTCCCAGAAGGCCCCGTGCCTGCGGAGCATCCAGTCCCCACCGAGGTCACGTCAGGGGATAGCCCCCTTCCAAGGAGGGGGAAGGATGATGCAGGCTGCTACGCAGGGGTGCAGGGCCCCAGGCCTAAGGGCAGCAAGGACAGGGCCCAGCAGGGAGCCTGTGGGAGGCAGTAAGGCCTCAGCCAACACCAGGTGGACACATGGTCAGGGCAGGCAGTAGGGGCCGAGAGCGAGTGGGTGCGGCTGAGCCCTGCAAGCAGACACCACCTGGCGTGGCGTTGACGGGGAGGGGGGTGGGAGGGAGGTGCCCAGGGGCCACTGGTGCAGTGTGGACAGCACCGTGCGAAGGCCAAGGAGAGGTGCTGGATGTGCGTGGAGGAGTCCGTGGGTACTGCGGGCCTCCAGGATCTGCGCAGGCACCGCAGGCATGGACAGGCTCACAGGTGAGGCACTGTGGGCTCTGAAAGCAGATGCAGGTGCACCGGAGCTGGGCAGCATGGACAGGGCTGTGCCCAGGACACTGGGCATGCAGAGCGAGGGCGCTGAGCGAGCAGGCGTGTGGCTGGGTGTCTGGGCCTGCAGGTGGGCCGGGGCAAGGGACACTGCTGCCAGGTGTGCCGCTGCAGGGCGGGCTCGGGTCTAGAAGGACAAGGAGGGTCTCACTGCCAGCAGGGCCAAGGGGCCAGATGCGCTGTTGCCCCGTGGGTACCACCCTGCCAGCTTCCTGGGCGGTGCCAGTGGCTGTGGTATGGGAGGGAGACGGGCTTGCGTGGGCTGGCCTAGGGCCCACGAGCTGAGGCACAGCGGTCTCCAAGGCACCAAGAAAACAAGCCCCAGGCCCCAGCTCCCCAGCACCCGGCAGCAGCGTCCTCGTGCGGGTCCAGCCACCATCGCCCCCCCCCCACCCCGGACCCAGAGTCTCGGTCCTGGCCGGGCCTCACCATGTAGCCTATACGGCCACAAACCGATGCTGCAGAACACCCCAGAGGGAGCGGCGGCAGGGGCCAGGCTGTGGGCCGGCCACGGTTTATTTCCAGAAGGGACCCTGGAGCTGCCCTTGGGCTCTGCAGTGCCCAGGTGGCTACAGGGCCGCGGTGGCGGCCACGGTCTCCTCCAGCTGCCGCAGAAGCTCCCCTGGCTGTGGCGAGAACATGCTGGTGTCCACTCTCTGGAAGTCGGGGTGGGCCACCACAGACGCCAGCACCTCGGCAATGCGGCCAACGTCGAAAGCAGCCTGCTGGGGGCCCAGGCCGGGGCTGGCGCCATCCGGCTCACCGGCGCTGAGTACAAGCAGCCTCCTCTCAGCGATGACCTTGAGGAAGTGGTAGAACTCCTCAAAGTTGATCCCGGAGCAGGACCTTAGGATGACCTGGGTCAGGGGAGAGACCCATGAGCCACTGCTCTCTGGGCGTTTTGGGCCAGCTTCTGCTGACCACAGACAGAGTCCAGGCTGCCAGGGACCCTCAGACATGGCCGGTCACCCAGGTGAGGGCTGATGACAGGGCAGACACGGGGGCAGGGAGGCAGTGGCAATCAGCAGCCTGGAGGCCAGGCCCCACCCCTGCCAACCTGCAGCCACACACCTGGCAGTGCTGGTGCCAGTCGGGCATGGAGTCCCGCCACTCGGCCACCTCCTGCTGCACGGCCCGCAGCTCCTGCTGGAGGAAGTGCCACATGCTGGCCAGGTTGCATCCGTTCACCCAGTTGTGGTTGAGAGAAATGGTGTCCTCCTGTGGGACGGGACAGGTCACATTGGCACCACCAGCCCCCGTGACTGTCCCCGCCCCAGTGCTTCCAGCCTCCTGTGCCCAAAAGGGGCCAGGAGGAGGCCGCTCAGCCTCCCACAGGCACAGAGGGGGCCGGAGCCGACTCACTGGGTCCACAAGGACTCCAGAGCAGGCCCCGAGGCCCCAGTGCCCAAGGAGGATGTGGCGCAGGGCCCAGGAGGCAACAGGGATGGCCGCAGGAGGAGGGACGCCGGCGCATGGGCGTGGGTGCTAGGGCTCAGGACCGCCAGGGCAGCTGGGGTCCGACCTACCAGGTTGTGGACTTGATGGTGCCAGCCGCTGGGCACAAATATCATCTCGCCGGCCTCCTGCGTGACCTCCAGGGGTGGGGCGCCGTGCGCCTGCAGGGAGGGGGCGGTCACATCGTAGGGTAGGGCACCCTGGCAGTCGCGCAGGGCTTCCTCCTGCCCTGGCGGGAATAGGAGCCACTTCTTCCTCCCGCAGATGTTGACAGACCAGCTGTAGGAGCGGAAGATGTCGGCGTGGAAGGGCGACCTGCGGCAGGGGCTGTGTTGGCGTTGCGGCACGGACCCCCCGCCCCTCCCCCGCCAGGGGCCCACTCACCAGCTGCCTGCCGGCCCCATGTACACGAAGCGGTAGTCGTCCAGGCCCCGGGCGTCCCAGTACTCGTTCAGCCAGTCGGAGGCGAAGTACTCGGGCAGGGAGAACACGTCCTCCGCCGAGGTGTCCCTGCGGGCGGCCAGGGCTGTGGGGGGGAGCCCCGTGCCCCCACCCCCACGGGGGCCACCTGCCGCTGCCAGGCTACCAGAACCACCCAGCTACCAGGGGATGCTGCCCCCCAGTGGACCGCAGGCAGCTCTGGGGTCCTGTGGCTGGGCGAGCCCCTGCAATGCCAGTGCATACTCTGGCTCCCCTGTTTGGGGCCACCTGCGGGCACACACCACGCATGGGGTGTCCTCTGTGCCCCACCTTCTCAAGCCCTTTTCCCCCCCGCACAGCGGCTGTGGGAGGCTCAGGTCCCAGCACCCACAGCCGCCTGGGGTGAGGACAGAGACAGTCACCAGGGCCCCACCGAGTGCCGCCCCAGGCCGCCTCCTAGTTTTTGTCTTTAGGGTGCCAGGTAAAATGTGGGGCACTGAGAACCGTTTCAGGGGCACAGGGCGGGGTTCCTGGGCAGATCTCCCCTCTCCCCACACGCCCGGCCATGCCCCTGCTCCTGCCAGACCAAGTCACTGTGCAGGTGCCGCTCCACCCTCGAGGGTCTCAGGGGCCGCAGAGCCCGGGTTCCAGTCTCAGCTGACGGTTCTGAACCCGGTTTCCACCTAAGTCACCCGATAACACCCCATTAGCTGAGTGACCCCGAGCGAGCCAGGGGCCTCGAGGCTCAAGTCCCGGGGCTGGCGGGAGACTCAGGGCCTAAGCAGCAACTGGGGGGGGGGGGGGCTGGAGAGGGAGCCGCGGACGGACAGGGAGAGGCGCGGCGGGGCCGCCGGCTCTGCGGGGGGCTGCGGGCCGGGAGGGGCGCCGCGCCCGGCCCCACCTGCACAGGTGCCAGTCCTTGAGGTAGAGGCAGCCGCGCGGGGAGGCGTAGCCGGCCCGGATGTGCTCCCTCCAGTAGCGCACGTACTCCCGAGGGGCATGTGCTCCTTGGGGTTCGCGTTGTACTCCCGGAGCCCGCAGTTCGCGACCGGCACGACCACGTCTCCTGCAAGGGGGGTCGGGCCTCAGCCGGCTCCCGCGGGGGCGCCCCAGGCCCCGCGCCCCGCCGCGCCCCGCGCGCCCCGCCGCGCCCCCGCGCCCGCGCCCCCCGCGCCCGCCGCGCCCCCGCCCCCCGCCGCGCCCCGCACCGTAGCGCCGCAGCAGGTGGTCGAAGTCGGGCGCGCCGGCGGGCGTGACCCAGCGGCGCCGGCTGCCCCAGCCGTCGGTGAAGGCGCGCGAGAAGACGCACGGCCGGTTGGGCAGCAGGTAGCCGCGGACGAAGGCGGCGTAGGGGAAGGCGGCCGGCTCGGCGATGAAGTCCACGCGCGGCGGGGCGGGCGCGGGCGCGGGGCCGGGCGGGCGCCCCCCCAGCGCGCGGAAGTGCGCCTCGGCCAGCGCGCGCGTCTCCCGGTCCATGCGGCCGCGCCCCCGCCGCCCCGGGGCCGGGCGGAACCGAGGGCGCGCGGCTCGCGTTGCCGCCCGAGCCCGGCGCGGCGCGGCCCCGCGCCTGCGCACTCCGCGCCGCCCGCCCCGCCCCCGCGCAGGCGCGCCGCGCGCCGCCGAGCCCCTCCCGCGGCGTCGGCCCCGGGGCTCGCGGTCGGCCCTCGCGCATCCTCAGGTGAGCGGCACCCCTAAAACCGCGACGGAACTGCGCCCCGAGCGCCGCCCGCGGCTGCGGCGGTGAGGATCGCTCCTTCTCCCCAGGCCCCAGGGCAAAGGGGTGGGGGTGACAAGGATGCACAGGGCCAGAGGCGGGGCCATGTGGGGGGCTGGGAGGGGAAGCTGGGACCGGGAGGGGTTGCTGGGGTACCTGGAGAACCTGGGACCGGGAGGGGTTGCTGGAGTACTTGGAGGGGGCGCTGGGGACCGGGAGGGGGAACTGGAGTACCAGGAGGGGGAGCTGGGGTACCTGGAGGGGGAGCTGGGGTTACCTGGAGGAGAAGCTGGGGTATCTGGAGGGAGAGCTGGGGCACCTAGAGAAGCTGGGGACCGAGAGGGGATGCTGAGGGTCCAGGAGGGGAAGCTGGGGCCCTGGGGCAGTGGTGGGGATGGGGAGGTATTGCTGGGGCCTGGAGCGGTATGGGGTGTACAGGAATACCTCTCTGCAGGGGTATTGGGGGAATAAGGGAGGGCGGGAAGTAGAGGTGTGGGGGTTGATGTGGACTTGAGCCCGGCTCCAGGCCTGAACTGGGTGGAGGTCTGTGGGTCACGTGGGCCAGGGTCTCCATCTGTCAGAAAAGTCCTGCCAGCACCCCGTCCACTGACCTGTGGGAAGAACACAAGCCCATTGCCCCATGACACATGCAGGGGCCCCGAGAGCAGATGGCGGACAGGCGTGCACCAGGCAGGCAGCAGCACAAAGCAGATGCGATGGCATCTGTGCGGCCCCGGACACGCGGCTCCAGCTCCAGGCTGGCAGTGGCGCTGGTTTGCCTCACTCCTGCCAAAGCGAGCGGAGGGGGCTGCCCCCTCCACGTCCCGGGAAGATGTGGGTTCTGGGTGTGTTGGGGCTCGGACCTTTGGAGCAGAGTTCGGGGCGGGGGCTGTTTCCAGGGGTGTAAAGTTTACCCACCCAGAAGAATCTGCAGTGGGGACAGCGGAGGGGGCTCCGGTAAGTGGGGAGCGCGGCTGTGCTGGTGAGGAAGCAGCGGGGGCACAAGGGTCTCTGTGGCCTTACCACAGCCGTCCTCACACACCTGGGCCTGGTGGCAGGCGGCGCCTTCAAACCGCCCCGCACCCAGGCTTGAGGGCAAGTGTGTGATCTTGCTCCTCCCACCCGCCTCTCCTATCCCACCTATCTCAGCTCACCCGGTTATGTCGGCTTTTGCTGCTTCGAGTTTTTTTGGAAAACTAACCAGGTGTCAGTGTCTGGCCTTGTAGCACACTCCTTAACGACTTGCTGTTGGTTGAGGCTGCGTACGTGCGGGGACCAGCGTGGGAAACTGCTCAGACCACCCAAGACCCAGGGCCTGTGCCCTGAGCTCTCCTTGGGAAAGGCCATGTCCATTAGGTAATTCCTGGGGGGGTTCCAGGATTCCAGCTCCGGAAACTACGAGTGAGACTAGGTCTCCAGAAAGGGGGGCCTCTGGCCAGCGGGAGCATGCGCCTCACGTCGGGGGCCCGGGCCCTGGACTGGCTGCTGCCCACGCAGCCACCCTCTGCTGTCAGCGCCTGGCAGCACCTGGCCTGGCTGGGGGCAGGCAGAGCTGGGCAGAGCGCAGGTGTCCATGTCACTGGAGCCCCTGGGCTTGGCCTGAGCACCCCGGGGACTGGCAGACCACCCCACTGCGAGGGCCCCTCTAGTGACCACCACACAGAAGAGCCAGAGAGGAAGTGGGGCTGGTAGGGTAAGGGGGCGCAGAGTCCCACCCTCTTTGGGAAAGGCAGTGGGGGCAAGTAGGACCTGGTGGTCTCGCAAGCCATATGGACAGGCTGTTCTGCAGACACCCCACACAGCCAGCCCAGCCTCCCAGGGTGTAAGTGGGCACATGGCGGGGGCAGGAGGTGACGGTAATGGAAAAGGCCAGCACCGAGACACTGCCCCACTGTTCTGACTGTGGCTGGAGTTACTGGAAGGTGTGTGAAACGGGGCTTGTTCTGTTACTTTGGAAATTAACTAAAAATAGGTGTTTACATGATGCTGAGTCTCGCTGGGCCACAAGGCTGCTGGAAGCGCAGAGAAGCCCGCTCTGCCGGCTGCAGGGCGTCCTCGGCGCCGTCCTGGAGACCAGCAGCCCCATTTCTAACAGGGCCCGGCCCCGGCCCCCAGTCAGGGGCAGCCAGCAGCCCATCACGGGGAGACAGGGGCTGCATGTTATATGGCCCGAGGACCTGGGGTGGGGGGAGGGCCCGTCCCCAGCGGGCATATCCCTGTCTGCACTCACTCGTGCTCACTGGGGCACCAGGATGGCCGCCCTGCCAGCCCAGGCCAGCTGGTCAGCAGGAAGCACCAATACGGGCGCTGACTACGGAGGCCCGAGGCCAGGTCAGCACCTGGGGCCAGGAGCTGCTAGATGGAGGGGCTTGTACCTGACCCGTGGCCCTGGCTCTGCCCGTGTCCACCCCTTGCATCAGCCATGCTGCTCAGCCTCGGCGGCAGCACTGGCCAGCCCCACCTGGTGTCACTGGCCATGCCTGGGGCCTTGGCAGGGCTCACACCCGCGGCCTCCCTGTTCTGCAGACACCCCACGGGCCAGCCGTGTGGACAAGGCCCAGTAGCCCTGGGGCGTGTTTCCCATCATAACCACAGTGTGGGCTGCAGTGAGGATGGGGAGACCCGGGTGGGACCCTGCTGTGGGGGCACCTGGGGCCAAGGCCTGCCTGGCACTCTGTGGCCACAAGGGCTGCCCAAGTGCACCCTTCAGGCTTTGTCCAGCCCTGGGACTGTATGAAGGGGCATTTCCTCCAGGAAATCGAGTGGAACAATGAACAGGAAGGGAGAATGGCAGGGACGCAATAGCAGGGTCACCGTAGGCAAGACGGCTCCTGGGGGGGGGCCGGGGCCGGCTTGCTGGGCATCCCAGTCTCCCCCATTGGCCATGGCCTGCAGCAGACCTGCTCCCAGGAGGGATGCTCTGGCAGGCTCTGGGACTTGGGGCTCTGGTTTGAGTCCCCACCCTCTCCCTCTGCTCAGCAAAAGGCCTTGCCCCACCTCCCTGGGGTGTCCTGAGAGCCTGGCCAGGCCGGGACCTGCCTCCCTTGGCCCTGGGGCCTGCCCAGCCCCCACTTGGGTCCCAGCACCTCCCACCCAAGGGAGAGGCACATCTTAGCCCCATCCACCCCGTCACTTGTGCTCTCTTCTCTGGGCAGAGGCTGCGGCAGGACCCGGAGCAGATGAGCGGAGACGTCTGCATCCGTGCCTGGCCGGGCTCCTACTATTGGGAGCCCGAGAAGCGATGGGTCCCGGGCACACTGGGGCTCACGCCATGTGTGCTAAGCTTCACAGCCAATGGAGCCAGAGACGCCCTGGTCAGCATTCCCCTTGCCAGCATCACCGAGATCAAGAAGGAGGCATCTCACTTCATCTTCAGCTCCGTCACCATCCTGGAGCAGGGTGGCACCAAGCACTGGTTCAGCGCCCTGCGGCCCAGCCGGGACACCGTGTTCAGCGTCCTGGAGCACTTCTGGAGGGAGCAGCTGCTGGCCCGGCCTGGGGCTGCTGCCAAGGCTGCACCCGCGACCAAGGGGCAGGAGCTGGTTGGCCTGATGGCCCGCTCGCAGCAGTGCCTGGAGCACGCGGCACGCGCCCTCCACCACCAGGGCCAGCAGCTCGACGGCGTGGCCCAAGGCCTGGACCAGATGGAGGCCAACCTGGACATGGCTGACAGGTGAGTGGGCTGGGGCCGGGTCGTCTCCTTTCCCACCAGCCCTGACAGGCCCCTGGAGCTTTCACGTGTTCACACAGCTGCGCAGGCCTGCCTTGGGGCACCAGGGAGGTCTGGGAATTACTTCAAAGGGACAAGAGGAAGCTCACGACGGTCGCACACCCTTTTGAAAAGGAAAAGCAGCTTCTCTGAGGCAAAGCGTTTCTGTGTGAAGAGCAGCCCTGCGCTCTGGGTCCGCGTGGCTCTTCCAGTTTGGGGATTTGGCTGCGGACACCCACATGCGGGCTGGGGGTGGGGAGGGGGGGAGAACGTGGCGCCAGCGCATTGATCCACACGCAGCACCTCTTCCCCTCACAACCACACCTCTTGCTTCCATACGTACCCAACAGTGGTGCTGCGGGGTCACAGGCAGATCTGCTTTTAAGTTCCGGGGCGGGGGGGACAGTCATTTCACAGCGGCTGTGTGGACCCCCGTGGCTGCCAGCAACGCTGGGCTCCCTTTCTTCTTCCCAGACTGCTCTTCGCACACACGCACCACCGCCTCGCTAGCTGCCTGCACACGCAGCTGCCACCCGCAGGGCCCGGAGGGTCTCCCTGACCTTGAGCCATGCTGGCGCCTTCCCGAGCACCTGGCGGCCATCGGGCACCTTCTTAGGAAAAGGGAGATGTGGGTCCTTGGCCGTATTCAGTTGGGTTTTCTTTAATGTGTTGGGTACAAGTGCCTCGTGCTGGTGTGACTCCAGACGTCTTCCCCGCCCTCCAGGGGCCTTTCCGCTGTCGGTTTCTACCTTGATGTGATGTCACATGCTAATTTTTGCTTTTGTTAGCCTGTTTTTGGTCAAATGGAAAAAAACTCTGCCGCGACAGCTGTCCCGGAGTGGACCTCGGCGTGTTCTTACCGTCCTGCGGCTGCAGGGCTCACATCCAGGTCTTTGACCCATTATGAGTTGACCCTTGTGAGTCCTTCCATCCTTTTGCACGTGGCTGCTGGGTGCTCCCGGCACCATTCAGCGCAGACACTGCCCACGTCCGCTGTGCGCCTCTGACTGCCTTGCCCGGCCAGTCACCGTGTGTGTTTATTTCTGGAATCTTTGTTCTGTTTCTGTGACATACAGAGCTGTTTTGTGCTAACGCCACACATTTTTGGATGCTGTCACTTCATGATAAACTTACTAATTGGGAGATGTGGTGCCTCCCTCCACCTTGGTTCTTCCTCAAGGTCACTCTCACTGTCTGGGATTCTTTGTGGTTCTATAAAACTTTTCAGGTCATTTATTTCTGTAGAAAATCACCATCGTGGGTTTGGTGAGGGTCACTTGGGGCCTCCTGCCTCACGGCATGGACTGGCCTCTGGCTGTCGTTGTCTTCCCTGTCCTTGCTGCTGTCTTATGGTTTTCAGTGTTTGGATCTCACACATTCTCAGCTCAGTTTATTCCTAGGTATTTTCTTCTTTTTTTATGCAATTGTAAGTGGAATGTTTTTTAAATTGTATTACTGGCAGCCCCATCATTTGTGTATGGAAATGGAATTGGCTTCATATCTGGCAAGTTTGCTGCATTTATTCTAATAGTTTCTGGTAGCGTCTCCAGGGCTCTGTACACAGCGTCGCATCATCTATAACTAGAGATGCTTATATTTCTCCTCTGCAATCCAGCTGCCTTTTCGTTCTTTTTCTTGCCTCATTGCTCGGGCTAGGCTTACGCCAGGAGCGGCAAGGCTGGGCGTGTAGGATTGAAAGTGCACGACTTAGCACCACCATCCTGCTTCTGATTTCAGAGGAAACTTTTCAGCTCCCCACGAAAGGCTGAGCATGAGGAGGCCAGCGGGGAGCTGAGCAGGAGGCTGAGCGGGGAGGCCAGCGGCTGAGCAAGCGTCTGCCGCATGCCCTCTTTACCCGCCTGTTCTCAGCGTGAACAGTGCTGGGACTTGTCCCATGCTTTTTCTGCGTCTGACAAGGCGATTCTGTGCCCGCCCACCACTCTGCTGGGGGTGCTGCGCTCCCGGCACTCCATCAGCCTGCCGGGCGTCTGCTTGCTCTTGAGTCTGCTTTGCCAATACTATGTCGCGGGACAGCGCAGCTGATTTTATCAGGGCTATTTCCTCTGGTTTTCTGGAGCGTTCTTGTCTGGTTTCCGGGTCTGGGTAACGCAGCTCATAGCTCCCCTCTGACCTGACAGCTCTAGCCGAGCCGCTTGGGGCTGGTTGCTGCTGCTTCTCCGAACGTTTGGTGACATTCACCAGCGACACCAGGTCCTGGGACTGTGTTTGTTGAGTAATTGTTACTTTTTGAGAACTTGCATTCTTTAATACGATTTCTATCTGTCCATTAATAGTCTCAGATGGTCATCGTCACCTTGCTTTCCTTTCACCCTTTAAACCTGACATTTGTGACTCCCTTGGACACTGTAACCTCTCAGAAGTTGTTACCTATCGATCCCACTTCTCAGGAACGGGTGCCCCTGATTCCTGTCTTCTGTGGATGGGTCACTGCCTTTGCTTGGCTCCTGGCATGTCTCATGCTTTTTGTTGGCCAACCAGACAGCCTTAGCAGCCCGGCCGGTCTCCCCCAGTGGTGTCGTGCTGTGACCCTGCAGCATCTCACTGCTTGTCCCTGGTGTCCCAGTGTCCCCACATGAGCAGGGCTCGGTGGACGCAGGTGCCGAGGAGGGGCTTGCTTGCCTGCCTTGGAAGAGGGTTGCCTTTGAGTCTGCACCAACATTGGCACCAGAGGGGGGATCTTGCTATTTTGTTTCTGGTCTTGGAGGGAAGACTGTGACTCCATCAACATCATGCATGTTGCTGTTTTTAAATTGTGTGTGTTTGGGTTTTTTCCCACAGGTATCTGAATTAAATGAGGAAATTTTCTTCTATTTTTGCTGCAAATTTTAACAGGAGTAAGTGTTGAATCTTCTCAACTTCTGGGTATTTTGTGATGATCATATCACTTTTTTCTACTTTTCTTTGTTTTTTAAGACTTATTGATGCATACAAGAACTTGGGTGCAGGCCAGAGGTATGGGGGGTGAGAAGACTCCCCAGAGACAGAGAGGGGAGCAGAGTAGGTGGATCTACTGAAATCCACTGCTGAAGGAAGCAGCGGGGAGACAGGAGAGGTCTGCTGTGCCATGTGGGTAGCTCCCTGGCGGGGGATGGACTCAGGCCGCAGTGGCTGGTGATAGCTCGATAGCGCTGAGACTTCACCCCTGCACCCCCAGGGAGGCCCCATTTTCTAGTGAGAGAACTTACTTTGTTTTCAAGTGTCAGACCAACCTTATCTCTGTCCCCAGCACCGACGTCATTTGCTATGCCGCCGGCCGCCCTGTCCGGGCGGTGCATGGTGCTCTCATCCGGTGCGGTGGGCTGGGCTCACTTTCCTGGTGAGGCCGCCCTGTGCGGGGCCTTTCTGTGTGCACTGGAGGAGTTTTCTTTTCTACCTTTTGAGTTTTTGCTGTGAAGTCGATTGTCATAGCCCAAAAGACTCTTCAGAGCTGCAGGGTCTTTCCGTTCATGGCATCGGTCATTTTCATTTTATTTTTTTCTTGATTCAGTGAGGGCTTTAATTCTTTTCAGTTACTTGAAAGAACCAAATTTTGGCTTTGTTCGTATTTTTTCTCTTTTCATTGTCATTTTTTTCCTTTCGTCTGCTTTGTTTGGGTGGAACTGATCGTGCTGAGGTCAGTCTTTATCGGCTCTCAGGCCCCGGGGCCGCGTCAGGGGCCACGTCCTCTCCGGGTTGCCAGCCACCGCTCCGCAAGCGCCCACCGTACACACGTCCCTGATTCCCTCTGCACTGCTTCACTTACACAACTAAGACATCCACATGTTTGCGGGCCGCCTAGGTTTCTGTTGTTAATTCTCTTTTAGATTGGCCAGAGGACATGACTTGTGTCCTTGCGACCCGTGAACTTTATTGAGGTTTGCTACGTTTCCTGGCGCCGGAGCACACCTGGGTAGGGCACCACCTGGGTACTGGCTCGCTGAGGACTGTTGCGCCAAGGCGCTGAGTGTCCAGAGCACCGGTGTTCTCACAGCTTTAGAGATAGTGACGTCTACAACCGCGTCTACTTAAGTAGACCTTTAAGTTTTTGTCGATTTTTGCTTAAGGAATTTTGACCTGGGGTAGCAGCTCCACACAGACTGGCTTTTCTGATGATCCTTTGGGATCCATGCCCTGCTACCCGGTGCCCTCCCACCCTGGCCACTCCTCTCCTTCCCAGAGTCGCGGGAACAGACGTGGCCGGCCCGTTTCTCCTCCGGGCTGCGGCCGGACCGTCAGGAGGAGCTGCCATCCTGGGTCTGCTTACCCTCAGCGGGGCGTGGAGCGCTGCGTCTGCCAGCGCCAGCTTCTGGTCTGCCTGCCCTTTGTCCCGTCTGGTCTTTGTTTCTTTGCTCTTCTGTCCCTGCTCCCGCACTTCCCCTCCTCTGCAGGCTATCAGGGTTTGTCTTCGGCACGGTTCCTCGGCGTGGGCCAGCGCATCAGGCCCCGGCCACAGCTGCTCCTCTGAGGTGCGCGGGGGGCCGCAGAAAGGGCTGTGTGGCCGCCCCAGCTGCCCAGAGCCTGACACCAGCATTGACCCGAGCCCGGGTCATGGGGTGGTTAGGGGGGGGGCGGGAAGAGAAGGTTCTGGCCTGAGGTGCTGGGCCAGCCCTGGAACTGCCGTCCTCCTGCTCTTAGCCTCTTGCTCCTTTCTGGAACATAAGGGGTAAGAGGCTGCAGCTCAAGGGCTGAGGTGAGCAGGACAGGGCTGCCCCAGACCGCACGGACAGCCTTTCCAGCCCATCGCTGAGGAGTTGACACACTCTGTCTGGCCGCCCAGGTTGCTGACAGAGCTGGAGGCTCCTGCTTGGCGGCCCTTTGGCTGCAGGCTCTGGAAGACGCCGGCGGACACGAAGCCCCAAGTTGGTGCCGCTGCGGTGAGCCCCGAAGCACACAGGAAGGCCGGGGTCCTGCTCAGCATCCCTGCGGTGGTTTCCCGTGGAGCAGAGGCCCAGGTGAGGCTAGGGCAGCTCATGGTCCTGGCGTCCGGGCTGGAGATCCACGACTCAACCTTCAAGCTCCTGCACAGGTTTGAAAGCAGCGACGTGGACGACATCCAGGTGCACACGCCCTACGAGGTCACTGTGCGCCAGCGCTGCCTTGGGAAGCCTGACGTATCCTACCGCCTGCTGTCCGCCAGGATGCCTGAGGCCATCCGTGCCCTCGGCCTGCAGTTCAGCCAGAAGATGGAGCTTCTGGGCCATGCCACAGAACTCTGGGGCCCCGGTGGCCCCTCCCCAAGAGAGCAGGGCTTCTCCACACACCAGGCAGGTGGGTGCCTTGTGCTGGGACCATGGTCAGCCAGGCGCCTGGCTGTGGGTGAGAAGGACCCTCCCCGCTTCCCTACCCCGGACAGGTGGGGCACTGAGGGGTGGGTGTGGGGGCGGGGGTGGACCTCCCAGTGGCCCTGCCTGCCGTGGTCCCCAGCCCTTGCTGGCCTGCCCACCCTCCAGGCATGCCCAGGCCTCTGAACCCCAGAGCTGTGCCTGGGGGGCTTGGGCACCTGGGGTGTCAGCTGTTCCACCCACTTCCTGGCTGGAGGGAGTGCTGCCCTGGCCCAGGGTCTGCACTTTCAGGAGGACCTGGTCCTGCCTCCACCCCAGAACCTGCTCAGCATGACCCCCCTTTCCATGCTGACGGGCCCCACATGGCCCAGCTGACGGGCAGAGCCATAGACATGCAACATGACTCCCGTTCACGGCACAACACCGGGCACGGGTGGCACACAGGGCTCCGGGGCAAGCACGTCTGCCAGGCCATGTCTGCCCCCCAGCCTGCTGGCCGGCCCCACCCCAGGGACACCTCTGCCTGCAGCTGGAAGACCCCCACGCCTGCAGGGGTGCGTGGAGCGCTGCATCTGCCAGCGCCAGCTTCTAGTCTGCCTGGTGGGGCCGCAGGTGGGGCCCAACACCCCACCCCCTGGGAGGCATGGCCTGGCCCCGCCTCTGTGTCTGGCTGTGTGCACTGCCCGCCCTCCAGGTGTGCCCAGGCCTGTGTTGGTTCCACTTTCTCACTCCTGGAAAAACTGCCATTGACAGTGAGATGGGAAAACCCGTCTCAGAAACGGCTCTGGCCCAGGGCCTGCCACCCCCACCCTGCGGCCCAGCTCTCAGCTGCAGCATCCTGGCCGCCTCCCCCCCAGCCCCCCCCGTGCCTCCCCCCAGCCATGGTTGGGCTTGTCGGCACGCTGACCTCATTGCAGCCTGAGGGTCTCAGTCGCGTACCAGGTGCTCTTTAGTCTTGCCCTCGGATCTTCTTCCTCTCCCAGGTCCACACATGTGCTGGACACTTGGCCCTCGAGGGCTGCAGAGGGACCAGTCCTCCTGGGCATGGCTGCGCAGGGTGCGGGGCACAGCTGGCTGGGGCCCTGCCATCCCGGGGCCGCCCACCGGGGCGGGGGCTGGCAGGGCTGCGGAGGAGCCAGACACCACCCGGTAGCCTGGCTTTTGGGCGGCCCTGGGCCCCCAGCTGGGCTCAGCCAGCGGGAGGGCGCCTTCAGAAGCGTGGCTGGAGAGTGCTGGCTCCTGGTGCAGCTCCACAGCCTGTGGGGGCTGCTAGCCACAGGCCTTCCATCATCTCCCTCCTGTGACAGCTGCTCCTGGCCCTGCCCGGTGCCCCCCAGAACTTCCCGCAGCAGCGGGCCTAGGGCTGGACGGATTGCTGCGTCCCGGCCTGCGTGTCTGCCCCGGGCCTCAGGAGGCCAGGCCGCCCTGCCCGGGTGCAGCGACCGGCGCTCTGGTCAGGGGCCTGGTGACGCGGCAGGGCCCGCCTCAGCGTGGAGCTGCAGCTGGAACTTGGGCGACGCCACAGCCAGAGTGTGGCCACCAGGGGGCGGCCGCACGACGCGGAGTTCACCTCCAGCCCTTTCCGCGAGAACTTTCCAGAGAGCCGGTGCTGCTGGCCCAGGGGTCTCAGGAGCAGGATGAGCAGGTGGCATCTGCCCTGTATGGCAGCAGCTGCAGGCGGTCTTCTCCCTGGATGGACAGCGCCTGTCAGAGCTGCGGCTGCGGAGAGGCTCGGGTCTGCGGAGAGGTGGCACCTGCATCCCATGCCCGCCTGCCTGCCCAAAGGGCGATGTCACCCTCCTTGTCAGAGCTGGGGCATGCGTCCCTTCCCGCCTTTCCCTCGGGCTCAGGCGCCTCTGGGCGGTGGCAGCTCCGGCCCTGTCCCGGGCCTTGAGGTGGCAGGCAGGTGGGCCCCTGCTCTGGCCTCCGCAGTCTCCTGACCACAGGGGCTGGGGGGGTAGGGAGGGAGGCCCTGAGGGACACATCCTGGCTGTTGTCTGTGGGGTTCTGGCCTCTGCACCGCCCCATGTGCTGCTGCCCCGAGAGGCTCCTCAGGCGGAGCCCTGGCCGCCCTGTGCATGGTGGGGGCCCTGGCCTCTGCTGCTCTGCCCCATGTCTGCCAGCGGGTGGCTGTGCAGGGCGCCCCGCAGGCTATCGAAGCAGATGAGGGTGCCGTGCTGAGGGCTAGTGGCTCCTTCTGGCCTGCATAGCCCAACCAGGCCAGCCCTGTGGTCAGCCGTGCTCGGAGGGGACGCTACTTGGCGGGACTCTTTGAGAGAGCAGGGAGGGTGTGGAGGTGTCGTGTGGAGGTCGCAGCCCCGTCCCCTATGCAGCTAAAGCTGAGGGCAGCCAGGAGGAGCCCTGAGTGCAGCGGGGGTGCTGGGAGGGGCATCGCTGCCCTTGGCCGCACCCAAGGGAGCAGCTGGAGTTGGCTCTTCAAATAAAGGACAGGTGGCCCGAGGGAGGGGCCGAGCCACCTGGTCCTGGCCGTTGCTGCCACGGTCTCAGCCGCCCCCGCTGCAGGTGCCTGGCCGGCGAGCCAGGGGAGGGTGAGCAGGTGTCATGCTGGGCTCTTCAATCTTTAAAGTGAGGCCCTGGGGTGAGGGGCTTTCTCCCTGACCCGGACTGCGCTGCTGAGCCCGTGGCACTGGCCCAGGGGCGCAGAGGCTTTGGGAAGGTGACGCTGTGTGGCGCTGTGCTTTCCAGCATCCAGGCCGCAGGACAGCGCGTGGACCCCAGCCAGCCGGGAGGGCGGGCAGCTGCAGCTCCAGGCCGGGGAGCCTCCCGTCTCAGAGAGGGACGCCCAGGAACTGAGTCAGGTGAGTCTGCGCCCCGTCCCCGCCCAGCCCCTGGCCGCTGCTGGCGCGTGTGGCCGAGCTGGGCCTCACGGCCCTGATGGCCATGCCCTCTTGCCTCCCGCGTCGCTTCTGAGCCACGCGACGGCTTTTGTTTTCCTTAAAGATAACTTTTGCAGCAAATGCCTGGATGTCTCCCTCCCAGCGCCCCATGTGGCGAAGGCGCGCTCCGGGTACTGCCGGCCGGAGGGACCCCGACGGCCACCCCTCCACACACACACACACACCCCTCCGCCCCGTGCCCATCCCCTTCCTCTGTAACTGGGTGGGGAGATGGCTGCGAAGTGCCAGCTGCTGGGGCCCTGCAGTCTGAGTCTCCGGCCTCGGTTTCCCTGCGGCCACGGGGTGGGCTCGGCGCTGGGTGGCGGGGCAGGGCTGGCTGGCGGGGGAGGCCCCCCACCCACTCCAGCCAGGCCTGGCCCCGAGGGCAGTCGCGCCCTGGCCAGGATGCGGCGCCAGGAGCCCCGCCCCCATCCGCGGGCGGGCCACGGCCTCCTGGGGACACGCCGGTTCTGGGGGGCTGGGCGTGGGGCCCTTCCCTGCCGGCCGCCTGCACGCAGCGGTGGGGGGCGCCTGGGTCTGCAAGGCCGCACTGGGTGGGGCCGCAGTCGGCCTTCCCGCAGGGAGAGCGGGTTTCACAAGAGATTGTCTTTTTGAGGTAAAACACATGTTTCCTATTTAGGCAAGAATTCTGAGCTGTGCAGATGAAGCTCAAGCGTAAGAAGGAATGAGTTAAATTTCTGGGGAAAACAAAAATGCAAGAAAATCCCCATCACTCAGCTTGTGGTTTCTGTTGCAAATGCTATTACAGCCGCTCTGTGGAGACGCGTCCTGGAGACCCGGCTGCAGGCGGGGCCGCAGGAGGATGCACCCTCGCCAGGGGCAGCCGCATGCGGCGGCCAGGCCGGCCAGGCCACAGCTGGCCCCGTCTGCGCTGCCCGCTGTGGGCCTGGCAGAGGGGCTGGAGGGGAGCTGTTCCCCAGCGGGTCTGGCAGGGCCGGGGCTTGCGTCCGGCCGCGGGGCTGGCTCTGCAGTGTGGCAGGTCAGTGGCAGGCTGCCCCAGTCCTCCGTCTGGCCATGTGTTGGGTCTCTCGATGCTGCGCCACTTCCCAGGAAGGTCCCCGGGCACGGTCCAGGCAGCACTGGTGGCGAGGCCTGCACACACCCTCCCCTTCCCGACGGCCTTATCCCAGCAGCGCCCAGAGCGGGTATGGCGCCATCTCCACTCAGGGCTCTGAGGCCAGGCCAGGGGTCAGCGAGGAGCAGGGTCGGTGTGTTGGGGTGTCCCTCTGAATCACCAGCCAGGGCTCCCAACACCGTCTCCCGTGTCGGCTCCCAAGGCTCAACTGACAGAGGAGGCCGAGTAAGCGGGAGGGACCCGCAGCCAGCCACACTCTCGGTATTCCAGCCGGACACATGGCCCTGACGGCCTCAGGCAAGGTCCAGGGCAGCCGCCAGCTCCTCCCGGCCTCATCTCCTCTGCAGAAGAGCCAGGGCGCAGGCGGGCGTCCCACTGTGCTGTCGGCCAGTCGGCGCCACTGTCCTCCGGTCCTCATTAGTCCCTGTCTCACGTCCTGGCTGTCACCAGCGTCCCAGGCAGCCTGTGGTCCGGGCTGGAAGTCAGTCTGTGTATGTCTCAGCATGAGTTGCAAGATGGGCGCTGTCCATCCGCCCCTGTGCGTCCTCCGGCCTTCTGCCACCCGGACTGTGCACGGTTGTGGGGAGCCTGGCCCCATCGTACCTGTGGCCTCTGGCTGTGGCCAAGGCGCTGTATGCAGGACTGCGGGGGACTCGCTGGCAGTGAGGCCCAGGCCTGCCTGCACCCCACATGCTCCCTCCCCCACCAAGCACCACCACCCCCAGCCCCGGCCTGCGCCCTGCAGCAGGGCCTATCTCTCCAAATGTCCTCCTCCTGGGGGCGCTGCCCACGGCCCGAGGGGGATTTTCCCCAGGACACTGCAGGGCCTCCTGAGAAGACTGTCCTCTCCAGCTGCTGTCCGTGGGCCCCAGAGTGCAGTGGAGAGATGACGGGAGCACAGGATGGTTGGGGGTGGGGGGCAGACCGTGGCCGAATGTTCTCTGCGGCCTCCGGGGCCTCAGCTTGCTGGAAGCCAGACGTCCTCTCCCTTCCCCGCGCACGTTAGCAGCCCGAGCTGCAGAGCCGCCCGCAGCTGCAGACAGCTTGATTTACGCCAGCTCTGCCCTTAAATGGTTGCTAATTTCTCACTGCAAGAAAACGCGTGGTTTTCGGTGCATCAGCTGGACGGCGAGGCCGGGCAGACAGCCCACCGGGCTGTGCTCTGTCCGGGCCTGTGCAGGCGCAGCCGGTGTCCTCGTGAGGCTCAGGCTCGGAGCCCAGTGATTTCTCGCACTTGCGCTGTCCACACATGCCGGCAGCCTGAGTGGGGCCGGACACCCCCGACCATGACCGCGGCCCACGCCTCCTGGTCCTGCCTGAGGTTTCGGCCAGCCCTGGCCGGCACCTGTGCCCCACCGGGGCTGCTGCCTGAACGCTGGCCGCGCATGTCGCTCTTCCCAGGGCGCGTGTGCTCCACCCGTCTCTTCCCCAGCAGCTCGCACTTCTGAGCCCGGGGCTTCCTGGGAGGGGGTGCGCAGCTGGCTTCAGGCTCACTCTGGGGGGGTGGGGGTGGGGGCCTGCGGTCTGACTCGGCCGGACGCCTGGGGCAGGCGGCGCAGGGGCGCAGTGACTGGACGGCTGGCGATCCCGGCCACAGGGCCTGGCCAGACTCCACGTTCCCTGTTCTTTCCGTCGCAGGCTCGTGGGACATCAGCGCTGCCCACGGGTGCGCCTGCCCCATGAGCTGCAGCCGCCCGGGCCTCTAAGCCGGGGTGGTTCCCGGCCATGCCACTGCACACGAGCCTCGCTGGCGTCCTCGCTGTTCCCATGGCCTCGGAGACGGCCTCCCGCTGGGCCTGGGAACCCTCCCTGGGGAGATGGGCCGCAGCGTGGGGCTGTTGTGGAAAGCAGCCCGGGCCACTGACCACGTGTGTCCAAGGTGGTCCCCGCGAGAGGCGCCTTCAGGGACAGGTGGCTCCGCTCCCGGGCCCCTCAAGGCTGACCGGAGGCGCCGCAGCGGCTTGGGGCGTGTGCGGACACCACACTTGCCATTTCTACCTTTCCAGCATGGAGACATCACCTGGCTCGTGGCCCCTGGCGCCGGCGCCCAACCTGGGCGGCCTGGCCCGTCAGTCTGCCCCTCGAGGCCTGCGCCGCCTCCCAGGGCCAGGGACAGGGCTTGTCACACCAGACGCAATGCCGGGAGGTCTGCATTGGGGGCAGCTCACATTGCTGGGGCCCTGTAAACAGGCAGCAGAACCACATGTGCTCCCCAGGGCACCCTCTGTCTCCCTGACTGCTGGGGGCTGCACCGCGGCCACCCAAGCACCGCCGCTGACTAGAGCCGTGAGCTTGCGCGGCCAGTGGGGTGAGGATGCAGCTCGAGCCCGCCCGGTCCTGGGGGACCCTCACACCAGCACAGGCCGGCTCTTATGTCGATGGCCGTCAGGAGGGCGTGGCCGGCAGCCCTGCTGACGTGCGGGAGGCGCGTCACCGCTTTGGGGCCTCGGCCAGGTGAGGTCACCCGTACCCCTCCTGAGCCGGCTGACCCCACGGCGTACTTTCCGGAGCCCCATCCAGCTTTTAAGTGACTCAGCGACGGGGTTTCCACCAGCTCCCGGCGGCCTGGCAAGGCCCGTCCAGCCCGCCCCCACCCAGGCAGCCGCGCGCGAGAGCGCAGATGACCTCAGGCTCCCGCCCCTGCACCTCCCGTTTCCACAGCCTGTTCACGTCTGGGCCTCCCCGGAGCCTCGCCACCCGCCCTCCCCCAGCAGCCTGTGCCTACTCCGGCAGACGTGGTCCTGGGCCTGAGGGGCGTGGAGACACCCTGCGGGCGGGGCCTCCTCCGCTCACAGGAGCTGCGGGGCACGCAGGCAGGGCAGGGCTCGGAGGCAGCCTTCTGGACCCAGGCGTCTCTGGAGGGTGGCCTGTCCCTTCCCTGCAACACAGCCTGGAAGCGACGTGGGTGGGTGGTGCGCAGGGCTGGCAGACCTGGTCCTCACTCATCCCCTTACAGTCCCCCTCCGTCCTGAGTGCAAGCTGGCACAGCGGCACTCCCGCGCATCCCCGGAGGAACTGCAGCGACCCCTGTGCGAGTCACAGGCGGCCGAAGTGCCGCGCCCACTTTCCCGCGCTGTGGGTCACCCAGGCTCAGGCCAGGGCCTGCCGCCCTCCGCGCCGGGTGCACCTGGCTGCGGCCAGTCCTCAGGCGGTCAGCAGCCCAGCGCCTACCCCCACGGGCACCCCCAGCCCGGGTGGAGGCACCTCCCTCGCCTGCCCCAGCCCACCCCACCCTCTAGCGAGCTCGCCAGGGTCCTTCAGAGGTTCTGTTTTCGCCCTTTGGAAAAGTCTCTTGATGGCTGTGTCTCACCTAGATCCTGAGGCAGCTGAGGGGCCTGGCCTTGGCCGCGGAGACGGAGCTAGAGAGGCAGGACGAGGCCCTGGACGGCATCGCAACGGCCGTGGACCGTGCCACCGTGACCATCGACAAGCATAACCGCCGCATGAAGAGACTGACCTAGAGGCAGGGGTGGGGAGGCCTCCTTCACCCAGGCCGGGGAGATGGGCGGGCGAAGGCCCCGGGAAATGGCCTGCGGGCAAGGGGCGGTGAGGCTGGGGCGGCAGCCCAGCCCCACATGCCTGGTGTCCGCCCCCCCAGGGGTCTGAGCCTGCAGGGTGGCCCCTGCTCCCACGCTCTGTCCCCCTTTCCTCGCATGGACAGGCCTGTTTCTTGTCAACTTGCAGCTGCAGGTGAGTCTGGCACACCCCTAGTCGCCCCGTGACACCAGAGATGCGCTCCCAGCCCAGCTTTCTGCCCGGCTCAAAGCCAGCTGGTCTTGCACGTGGCCCGTGTCCTCAAAGGCCAGCAGGGGGTGCCCTTCGAGTCGCTTAGAAGACAGCGAGGCTGCTTTCTGCCTGGCCCTGGGTCCCGCGGGCCCCAGGAGGGTGTAGCTGAGGGGCGCAAAGCCTGTCCTCAGAGAGCCGGCCCCACTGAGGCCTCGCTGGTCCCGACAGCACGCGGCCAGGACAAGTCCTGGGGTGCCCAGAGCACATCCAGGAGGGTCCTGCCGTGGCTGCATCACCCCAGGACCCTCCTCAGCCACACACCTGTGGGCTGGGGCGCCTGCACCTGAGGCCGCCTGACTTCAGTCCTGGCCTTGACTGCCAGGCTGCACCCTGAGGTCGGGTGTGAGCCTGAGTCCCTCGGGCCAGGCCATGGCGCTGACCATCCCACAAGACACCGAATCGGCCTCCTTCAGGCTCCCCACCCTGGGTGGGGTGATTACACTCTGGAATCTGCCTGTGGGGCCTGCTGGGTTCTCAGTGCCCCAACCAGAAGTGTCCCCTACCCTGCAGAACTGGGCCCTGCTGTCCGTGGGGACAGTCCGTGGGAACTGTCCCCAACCGGACCTTCTCCCCAGCCCTGGCCGCTACAGTCCTGTCCACTTCGCTGCACCACAGGCCCTTTTCTCTGCACCCGGGGTGGTGGGCACCCAGCCCCAGTCAGACAGCAGGGAGACCCTCCCCGTAGACCCCCACACACGTCCACTCGCTGAGCTCCCGCCGGGCCAGGGCAGCTCTGCCACCCAGCAGCCAGAACCAGGCGGGCCACCCTCCGCCTGCTCCAAGCCCCAGGGCAGCGCTGTGGCCAGTCCAGCTGGGGGCAAGAGGCCATGAAGCCCAGGGGTGGGGTTCACTTCCCCAGGTCGGGGGCGGGGGGTGGGGAGGCTGCTGAGACTGCGCCGCTGGGCGCGAGCCCTGTTCAGTCCGAGAGAGACTAGGGTAGCCCTCGCGGTCAGGTGCGATGGCAGCTCTGCACGCGGGGACAGCGGCAGACAACGCAGCAGGGGCCAGCGAGGGCTCCGAGGGGCCACTCGGGGAGGCAGGCGGGCGGGGGCGGCGGCCAGCAGGCGAGGGCCCATGGACTTGGCTCTTCTGGCTTGGGCCCAGACACCCTGCCACCCCTGAGCTGCAGACAACACCTGTCCCAGCTGGCGGCGGCCCGCAGACCTGCCGCTCGGACTCGCGAGGCATGGACACTGCCAGGCCCACTGTAGGGGGCTAGCCGGCTCCCCATGGGCTGCTGGCCTTGGAGCCGGGTGCGGGAGGCGGGGCGGGTGGCTCCCGATAAAAGCACCTGGGAAGTGTGTCCCGTGTCACGGCTTGTCCTTCCTGCCTTTCTTCCCCAGCACGGGCCCTGGGGTACAGGGGCACCGCGCTTCCCTCCCATCCCGAGTGGTGGCCCGAGGCCGCAGCACGTGGCCTCCCCCTGCCCTGGTGCCTCCAGGTGCCCCTGTCCTGGCCAGGAGGCTCTACACCATCACTCTGGAGGCCCAAACTGGTGCACAGAAGCTTCAGGGGAGAAGAAACCCACTTCCGCACACCCCTGGGGCCCCACAGCACTCTGCAGCCCACTGCGCGGGGCTTTGGGGTGTGGTTTTGGCACAGGCCTCCTAGGGGCGGCTGCACTGGGGGGAGGCCCGGCCTCGCAGGGAGCTGAATGGGCGGGCCGGCCTGTTGGGAGTGACTCGCACAAGGCGAGGGGCCATAGGCAGGGCCTCGGCCAGGGTGACCCTAGGGCCCCACCCACTGACCCACCTGCGGGGGCTCAGACACTGGCCCCGGCCTGGAGCCGCGCGCACGGCTGCCACCTTCCAGACCTCCACAAGGCCCGCAGCTGACTCGGTTGCTCTGGGCTGAGGCCGAGGACCCTGCGAGCTATGAGCTCCCCTGCCCAGGAGGGGGCTTCTGAGAGCCCCTCCACCCTTGCTCGCAGGTCACGGGCAGGACGGTCTGGGGGTCAGCCCCAGGAGCCCATCAGCAGAGAACGGCCGGGTCGTGGGGCTGCCGCGGAGGGGCAGAAGCTCTGCCTGGAGGGCCTGGGGGCACTGGATGGGGTGGCTGCGAGGGAGGTTGGGAGGGAGTGTCTCCTTGGGGGCATCTGGGGGTCCCCGAGGCCGCCTCTGGAGAGCTGGAGCCCGAGGTGGGCGGGAAGGCTGGAGAGGCAGCCGGGGCGCAGCACCCCCCCCCAGTGGAATGTGGGGCAGGGGTGGCAGCAGTGATGCCTGGGGCCCCGACCTGCCTGTCCACGGGAGCCACACGCTCCCCTCGTGCGCCCACCTGGGGAGGGCCCCTGTCGCCCCAAAAGGAGCCAGAAAGGGACGCCCCGCCGTACCCCAGGAGCAGGGAGAGAATCGCACTCAAGGGCCGGGCGCCGGGCAGGCCCGCGAGCACCAGGGACGCCCTTCACAGCTCAGAAACATCCAAGCGGCCGCAGAGCCACCTCCTGTCCACACTGAGCTGCTCGAAGCACAGGCGAGCGCGCAGGCGGCCTGGGGGAGCGAAGTTAAAGCGCCGGCTCCTCTGACCTCTGGGGCTGACGGCAGCGGAGGGGCCGGAGGCGGGTCTGGCGTACGCGCCTGCCAGCAACTGCCGCAAGAGCGCTCGGCCCAGGTGACGGCCTGGGCCAGCGGACGGTGGCGCTTGAAAGTGGACTTAACTGGGAGGCCAGCCCGGTGTGGCCGCTGCAGAGGGCCAGCTGCGGGGCGGAGGAGGGGGCGGGACGTGTCTCCCGCTCAACGCAGAGCGAAGGCGAGAGGAGGAGGAAAGGGCGGGGAGTGGACGTGGGGCCTCGTCCAGCACCGTCGATGGTCAGCTCCACGCCCGTGGTCCCCACACCCCCATCACAAGACGGTGCAGCAGACGGGGTAAGAGAGAGATCCAAGAAAACCACTACCAGACACCGCCCCCGTGGGCCGCAGGGCAGGGCGGCCGGTGACCCGGGGCCCAGTTCTCCTGGGCCACAGGGAGGTGAGGGGGGGGCCTCTGAGACAGGACCGCGGTCACAGGTGGGAGAGGCCCTCCCCAGGTGCCCACCGAGGGCCCAGAGTCAGCCTCACCCCGGCCAGAGGCCAGGGCCGGGGAGGCAGTACAGGTGCCAGGGTGAGCGCTCTGCCCGGGCCGGCCCTCCCGCGGGTGCACTTGTCCTGCCCGCCAGCTTGTTACCACCCTCCAACTCCCAGGGAGTGCCCTGGAGCGGGACCCCGCGCGGACACCGGGAGGCCCAGCCCTCAACCCCATGAGCCGCCTGGAGTAGGCCGTGCCTACTCCCCGCCCAACGCAGACTGCAACGGAAGCACGCCCTGGGGCAGAGGGTGACGTTGGGGTGCCTGTCTCGGCACCTGCTGAGGCTGCACTCCTGGGCTCAGGGCCTCTGGCAGGCCCCACACACTCCTGAGCAGAGCCACCCACGTGCGCCCCCACTGGGGCCTGTGGTCTGGGGGTTAGAGAGGGCACTGTGGGGAGGTGTGGGCCCCGTGTTGCCATCTCTGCCCTCTGCAGGATGGGCAGGGCAGCCCCTCTCCCTTGCCACAAGGCTGCTGGGCCCCGCGGGTGCGGGGTTTGGCCAGGCCCTCTGAGAGCGCCATGAGAGGCCATGGTCAGTGCGGAGATGGGCCACACGCAGAGAAGCCGCTGAGAAACCGCCAGCGCTCAGGGCCGCTGACCCCCGGCCCAGCCCCTGGAGCGGTGGAGACAGGTCCTGCTGGGTCTGGGCAGCACGCATGCCCTCTCTCCTGACAGGCTCCTGTGCTCACGGCCCTGTCTGTGCAGGACAGGGAGGACCCTGGGAAGGAGGGGGAGCCCACAGTGGTGTCTGGAGAACAGGCCGATGGAGCCCTGGGTCCTGGTCACCCTAGCTCAGAACTCCCCAACAAGTGACCCGCCCAGGCTCGGCCGTCTGGGACAGACCCTGGGGAAAGAAGTTGGGCAGGGGTGACATGGGGCCTTTCAGGCAACAGCCAGGTACACACCTGCCCCCGGGGGGAGGTTCTGCCCACTGGGTGCTGGGGAGGCCGAGGGGCTGGGGGTCCTCGGCTGCAGTGGGGGTTAGGGTCCAGTCTGGGTGGGGGTTCTTCCTGCACGCCCTGCCTGAGAGGCAGACACCCTGCGTGGCCTCCTGGCTCCCTGGGGCCCAGCACCCCTTGCTGCTTGAGCAGGAGCGGGGGCGGGAAGGAGGTAGAGGGAGGCCGGCCTCAGCCACAGTCGCTGCCCGCTGCCCAGAGCTGGAATGTGGGGCGGGGAGAGTCAGGTTTCCTCCACTTGCCCAGGGGCTGCAGCCCTTAATGGGGACCAGCTGTGAGAGGGCACCCCTGAGCAGGCCTCCCTTGCCTGCAGCCCATTTCTCTTCCAGGGAAACTGAGGCTAGACGCCTCTGCTCCACCTGCAGTGTGGACCCCACTGCTCTGAGTGCCCGTCCGTTTCCAGGAGGAACGCTGTCCCCAAGCGCAGCCCCGCTGGCCTCTCCCTGCGCCTTGGTGAGCTGGGGGTCACACCCACCCAAGTCAGGACGGGGTTCACGCCGCAATGGGCTGGGCTGGCTGAGCTGGGTGTCAGGCGGCCTCACACAGGCGAGGAAGGCAGGGAGGCGGCCTCAGGCCAGGGCTGGACAGAGGACTGGGCCCTCTGCAAGGTCAGGAGAGGCCCATCGCCTGGCTCTGGTCACACCTGTCTCTCCAGGGCAGCGCCGACCACTCCAGGTCTGGAGTGACCCCACCCTTGGCCCTTGGAGGAGCTCCTGGCCCAGCCCCCCCCGCCAGCTCAGCAGCCCGGGCTCTGGGGACAGTTAGGGCAGCTCTCAAGGTCACATCAGCCCGCCCCATGAAACTCTTCATGACACTGAAACTGGAATTTCATGTAATTTTCACATCAGAAAACAGCCCTTTTTCCTCAATTATCTGAAAAATGTGAACTGACCAAGCACAAGAACCATCCCTCGTCTGCACCAGTGACCAGGACGGAGGCACCCCGCAGGAGCCCACGGGCACCGGCCACACCCTGAGGCAGCACAGGGGCCAGCCGCCAGGGCCCCCCATCCTGCAGCCCCAGCACTGCACCCCCAGGGCCCCACTCCCCACCTGCGGGCAGGCCCCAGGGCTCAGCCCCGCACCTGACAGCCCCGCAGGGTCTTGGTCTGGAGGCCTCCGGGCAGACAGCGGCCAGGAGCAGGCCCCGCCCTCCCACCAGGGCTGCGCTGGGCTGAGGGTGGCATGTCCAGATTAGAAGAACATTCCGGGGCGCTAAGATGGAGAACCCACCCTGCCGGCAGCCCCAAACCTCAAAGGCCACCCCCATGACTCCCACTATCTTGGGAGCTTGCGGGGGGCCGCTGTGCCCAGGGCTGCTCCGGGTCCTGGGGTCACGCAGCAGAAGCCACTTGCAGTTCACACTGAGGGTGTGGGGGGGGGGCCGTCACATCACTGCCCAGAACCCCCATGCAGACGCAGGCTCGGGGGCAGCCCTCACCCCACCAGATGCTTCTCTGCCCCAGGAATCTGCCTTCTGCCGTCCCAAGGCCAAGGCAGCTGCTGGTGAAAAGGCCTCGGGAGCTAGTCTGGGCATGGGGTGTCTGTCCCCCTGCAGTGGGCCTGGGCCTGGGGCGCCTCAGCGCAACTCTGATCAGAGGACCAGGCCCAGGGAGCACACCCCCTTCTGGGGGCCCCGGAGGAGCTCCGGGGCCTGGGCAGCAGGCTTGACTGCGCCCGGGGCTGAACAGAGCAGCTTGTGCTCAGGGGACACCACCACCAAGTCCCCACTCAGCTCCCGCTGAGCTGCCCTGAGAGCCCTCAGGGAGTTCGGGGGGCTCCCAGTACCTCTCAGCAGAGCCCCCACAACCTAAGTGCTGGCCCAGGACTCAGGGTCAAGCCTCCCCCAACCTGCCCACCCACAGCCCCGCACCAAGCACACGGGACTAAGTGCAGCATCTCCTCTTAGCGCCAAGTTCCTCCCAGTGGCACACAACCGCCCCGGCCTGTGCTGAGAACCCTGCCCCAGACGTGGCGTGGACCGGGGCCTGGGGACGAGCTAGAGGGGACACAGGTGGCGGGAGGACGGAGGGGCGGGCGGGCCGGGGGCAGGGTCGAGGCAAGCAGGGCCCAGGCCAGGGGTGGGAAGACAGGCCGACGGGAAGGGAGCTGCAGGCCCTGCAGAGGCACAGCCTGGGGCCACGGCGACACTCCCTCCGTGGTGCTCGGCCTTGCTCCCGGGTCAGCCAGAGCTGGGACGGTAGTTGCTGTGAGACTTTACACCTCCCGTTGGTGAGGCTGGTCCCCCTGGGGGGCTCCTGGGGGTGAGCCTCATTTCCCTGCAGGGCCCTTGGGGGTGAGGCAGGGGGCGCCCTGGGAGTAAGGCTGGTTCCCCAAGAGACCCAGCCGCCTGGGGGAGTCCCACCCCACACACCTCCAGGAAGGGAGGAGGCTGGAGACTGAGCTCAGCGGCCAGGGGGCACTGGCTCACCTGTGCCCTGGTCCTGAAGCCTCACAGGAGCCACCAGAGGGACCTGGGCAAGCTCCCGGTGGGGGAACACACAGGCTTGGGGGGGTGTGAGTGCCGAGCCACCCCCATGACGTGCCCCTCATCTCTCCACCTGGCCCTTCCTCATTCAGCGAGGACACAGGTTTCCCTCCCTTCTCAGGGCCGTTCTCGTGAAGTGTCCTGTAAGCAGACAGGCAGCCCCTCGGCCAGAAGCCCGGGTCACGGGGCCGGGTGGGCACCCGCCGGCTGAGGGGCAGCAGCTGTGGCCAGCGTCTGAGTGGAGCCCACAGAGGCGCCTGACACAACTTATTGGGTGCCCCTCCAGACCTGGGCCCGGCTGGTGGGCCTGGGCATCCCACCGATGCACCCTCATGGAAGGGGGCCCGGGAAGCCAGGCAACACGGAACGGAGACCTGGGCGAACTGGTCAGGTGACCGGCGTCCGCTGCAGCCACGGTCACTGTACCCCGTCGTGCCCGGCGCTGTGGGCAGGTCCGGCCGACCCCGCAGGCCACTTCACAGGCGTCCAGGCAAGCCCACCTCCCATGAGACTCCCCTTCCCGGCCCCTTCCGCCCTCCGGGGCCCCGTGCTTTCCAGGCAGGCCGGCTGTCTCCGCTGGTCCCCACGGGACTGAGCCCCGGGCCAGGCCTGAGGGTGTGAAGGCGAGTCCCGAGCTGAGGCTGGGGTACAAGGCCTCCACCCCAAGTGGCCATTGCTGGAAGGTCGTGACCTCCAGGCACTGCAGGCTCAACGGGACACGTGAGGCCCGAGGTTCTGCATCTGCCCCTCCAGGTGCCCAGTCCCTCAGCACAGGCCAGCCGGCAAGGGGAGGAGGCCGCGTGGACGCAGCTCAGTCCCAGCAGGGCTGGCGGCGCCCGCTTCCCTCCGCCTCAGAGAGCAGAGCCAGGGAGGCCTTTTTTCTAACCATGGAAACAGCCAAAGAAGAAACACCAGCCGCGCACCTCGCGGAAGAGGGCTGACCGCGGACGGCCGAGCACACACGCACGGCTGCCTGACACCCGCGGGGCCCACGCCCTTCCACATGCCACCCAGTTCCGGGCCCACGGAAGAAGTCCCAGAGGCATCCCCGCGAGCCGGGCAAGGCCCCCACGAGCCAACATTGATATCGTCAGCCCGAGCACCGAGGCAGAGCTGGGAAAGTGGGTCGCGACTCCTGCTGACGACACGGGGGCCGAGCTTAAAGGATCAAAGACTTTATTTAGCTAAGCTGACCGAGATAATCTGAGAGGGAAGACGCAGACTCCTGAGCTCAGGGGTAAGGCAGCCATCACGTGCACACTGGGAAAGTAAAAGGAGCCACGACCAGACGTGCCAGGAGCCGATTTGAGAACACACCAGCGAGTGGGGAGACGGCATCAGTGACAGGAGCTTCCGCCGTGACGCACGCACGCAGGGAACCTCAGCAGCACCAAGAGGAAGGCTGACACAGGCCTTTCCCTCCACCACGACACAGGAGCAAGGCTGCTTCTCCACACGCGGGGGCCAGTGACTCTCTGACGCCCACGCCAGGTGGAGACATCGCGAGGAGGCCACAGCCTGTTGCCCATCAGCTCAACAAAGCGCCGTCTCGCTGCATTGGCCACGTACGCTGGAGGGTTATGTGCCAAGGGCTTGTGGCGTTTGTCCCAGAAATGCGAGGCTGGGTAAACACTCAAAGATTAACTAATGTAATATAATCATTTTAAAAAGCAAAAATCGGGCCTCCCCGGTGGGGCAGCGGGTTGAGCACTGTGCTGTGAAGCTGGCCGCAGCCTCTGCAGTGCGGGTTAGATCCCGGCCAGCAAGAATCCCACATGGCGAGGCAGGCCTCTCCTGTCGCACCCGCTGCTCCCCTCAGCAGTATATTTCTGTCGTCTGCCTGTTCTGCTCCCCGCTCTGTCTCTGGTGAATCCTCTCACTACCCCGCGCCTCTGGCCTATAGCCCGGTTCTTGTATAAAAATAAATAAATCTTTAAAAAAAAAAAAAAAAGCAAAAATCCCGTGATTACCCCAGAGACGAGGAAAAGGCAGCTGACAAAATCCAACACCTTTTCATGATCAAAAAACAAAACCTCCACAAACTAGCGATGCAAGGGAACTTCCTCAACCTGGGAAGGGCGCCCAGCCAGAGCTGCCATGACATGGCACAGGGAAGCCAGGCCAGCTGGGCCAGGGCATGACACGGGGGTCTGGGGCGCTGCTTCTACTCAAAGCTGGGCAAGGAGAAATGAAAGAAAACTACAACGTTCATCAGACTGGAAAGGGAAGAGGACACCGCTCTCCACTTGCAGGCGACAGGACCTCGTAGACAGGAAAATCCCAAGGAATCCACTGTAACCTGCTCAACCTAGCAGCTGTGATCACGCCAGAGCCCGCACAGGGACCAGCTGCGTTTCTGCTACTAGACACACACGGCCCCACGGAGAAGCAAGGAAGCCGGTCACCTTACATCACATCAAAAAGAATAAAAACACTTAGGAAAGAATTCAACAAGAGAAATGCAAAATTCTTAAGAAAACTTAAAACAATTAAAGACCTAAAGTGAAAAAAAAATTAAGAATCTAAGTAACTGACAAGACATTCCCACTGGCAAGTCAGACCTGCCACTATGGGGCTGGCAGAGACGGAGCCCCGCGGGCAGGACACGGGCCTCGGGAGATGGCTCCGGCTAGCTTTGGCTCCTTGATGGGTAAAAGGAAGGGGTTGTGCCAGGGGGGACGCAGGACTGCACCCCACGACGGAGGAGGGGCCGGTCTGCCCCACTGAGGCCTTGGGTTTCGCGGGAGCACTGGGCCTGCGAGGAAGGGCTGTGCAAAGGCAGCAACCTGGTCTGGGCAGGACCAGGAAGGCCGGACCCCTCAGGAAGGAAGGCAGGTCGCCCCATGAAGTGAAGAACCATGAGTGGCTGAGGTGCAGCAAGTGAGCAGGGAAGGGGTCACAAGCACCAGCCAGGCCTGTGCCCTGGGCAGACATGAGGCTGCTGCAGCATCAAGAGGCCCCCCTCACAGTGGGGAGCAGACGTCCTGGGAGAGGGGCATCTCCCAGGGAGCAGGGTGTGTCTCGGGCCAGGGCTTTGCCCTGTTTGAGGACAGGTTTGGCTGAGCTTGTCCAGGCCCAGAGACCCCGGCACTGTGCGGATGGCCAGGCTGTGGCGTGGAGGTTGCCCGGCAGTGCCTGCAGCCCTGACTGCATTTTTGCTGTGGGAAGGAAGCTGCCCTTGGTAAGAGCAGGCGACACCCAGCCCCGCGAAGGCCGGAGGAGCAGGCCTCTGTCGTCCTGAGGCGCATTCTGTCCTAGGGACGCAGAAACCCTGCCCAGGCTTCCCGCCAGAGGCCCCTCCAGCACCTTTCAGACCAGGCAAGGCCACTGCTACCAGAGTCTCCCCGACAGGCGAGCCTCTCGATCTTGGAGCCGGGCCCAGCTCCTGCAGTGTCCTGGGGCCACCATGAGAAAGCAGCCCGCACCGCGCAGCGGGGACGTGACACGACAGACAGGACCCCCGAGTGCAGGGCGGGCCAGGGCGCCTTCCTAACGCTGCGGCGGGTACCCCCGCTTTCCTCCCGGCCACCTCCCCAAGGCGCCGCCCTCAAGGCAGGCGGCAGCGACGGGCTAAGGGCCCTGTTCCAGCCTGACCGCGCGGGACCCCACCCTCGGGGACACCCGCGACCAGGCCGCGGCCGGCCCGCACCTGGACAGGCCCGCACCCGCCTGCCGCGGGGCGCGGCCGGCTCCCTCAGGCGATGGCGGCGCGGGCTCCGCCCCGAAGCAGGACGCCTGCCGCGGCCCCACAGGCCGACGCGTCCCGGGAGGCGGGGCCGGCGAGGGCCCGGCTCTCCCGGCGGAGGGCGCGGGGTCCCGGCTCCTCAGAACCCCACGACCGGCCGTGTCCACCCCCGAAGGCGCGCCCGGCGGGCCGGGGCCGCTGCTCCCCTGCGTCCCGGCCCTGCGTCCTCCGCGCCCCGCCCGCCCGCCCGGGAGGCCCGAGCCCGCCGCTGCACGTCGCACGTCCGCACGTCCGCACGTCCGCACGTCCGCACGTCGCGCCTCGCATGCCCGCGCCGCTGCCCTCACGCGTCACGGGCCTCACCGACGTCGCACGTTCGGACGTCACGTGTCTGCGGCCGCCGTCGCCGCGCTGGCCAGGGCCCGCCCGCCTCATGGGCGCCGCGCCAGCCCGCGCGCCCCTGATGCTGCTGCTGCTGCTGCTGGTGCTGCTGCCGCCGCCGCCGCTGCCCGCGCCGGCCCCCGCGCCCGGGAGCCCCGCCCCGCGCGCCCCCGCGCGCCCCCGCCCCCCGCCCCCCGCCGCCTGTGGCCAGCGCGGCCTGCCGGGGAAGGTCGTGGGCGGCGCCGACGCCCCCGAGAAGAGGTGGCCCTGGCAGGCGAGCGTGCACTACCTGGGCCTGCACGTCTGCGGCGCGTCCGTCATCCACGCGTACTGGGTGCTGTCGGCGGCCCACTGCTTCGGCCGGTGCGCGGGCGGCCGCGGCCCGGGGAGGCCCGGGAGGCCGGGTCGAGCTCCGCGGGCGGCTTCTCCCCGCCGCCTTCGTGGGCGGGTCACTGCCCACCGACAGCCCACTTCCCCGGCCTGGCGGCCAGCAGGCCTGCCGCGTCCCGGGGCCCAGGCAGGGCCTCTGAGGGAGGTGTGCCCGCCAGCCGGCTCCCCCGCTGACAGCGGGACCCCGCACTGCCCGCGCGGGCCCGGCTCTCTGAGGAGGGCAGCTCCTTCCCGGGGCACGAGGCACTAGAGCTGTGCACCTTGTTCCCCACCCCACAGGCACATGAACATCAGGTCGCTTGACGTGTACGTAGGCCTGGTGGACCTTAGGGTCGCAGGCAGTCACACTCAGTGGTTTGAGGTGCACCGGGTGATCCTGCACCCCACGTACGAAATGTACCACCCGGTTGGAGGTGACATCGCTCTGGTGCAGCTGAAGTCTGGCATCGTGTTTTCTGACGCTGTGCGCCCCATCTGCCTCCCACCGCCAGACGTGAACCTTCTTAACCTTTCTTGCTGGGCCACAGGATGGGGACTCAAATCCCAGAAAGGTAAGATGGGCAAGCACAGGGCCAGTCCCGTTGTGGGAGCAGTGGAAAGGAGGGCAGCCCTGTGGGCCACAGGGGAAAAAAAAAGTGTTGTCAGTTAAGGATCGTAGATACCTGGAGGTGGAAATCCCTACCCACTAGTCACCATCAGGTTCTCTGACCATGTGGGAGTTTTGCTTTATCCCTGACTGGCTTTGCTCTGCTTAAATAAATACTCACAGGAACACAAATTTGAAAGCAGTTTTTATTAGAATTTTCAACTTAGAAATAAACTTTTAAAGCCTGCTGAAAAGCCCATGTGTTATTCTGGCTCTCCCCATAAGGACCATATATACTCTTTGTTAAGGGTTTCTTGTAGGCAGCACAGAGTTGGGTCATCTGCTGTTGTCCCTTCTACCTGTCTCTGTCTTTTGATTGAAAGTTGATCCATTTACATTTAAAGTAAGTAGTGATGGGGTGAGACTGACTTCTGTGTCCAAGTACTGAAACTCTTTGGCCCATTTCCTGAGTTTCTGTCATTTGTGTTTAGTTTATTGTAGTGAAACAGTTAAATTTTTTTTAAATTTCCTTTTAAGTATATTTGGTAGGTATTTGTGTGTGTGTGGGGGGGGTTAGTTATAATGAGAATGGCATGTAATGTTCTGAAGGTTTAACACTAATTCACATTTGCTCCAGCATAACCTTCAATACAAATACTCTTGTTCCTTTACAACTCCATCCTCACCCCTTTTGCTTGTTCATGTCAAAATTACATCTATATACATTGTGTGTCCCCCAAACATAAACTAATGTTTTAAATGAATTAATCTCCTTAATTATGTAGAAAACAAGATTTGGTGTCAAGACTTAGAGTTGAATAGTTTTTGTACCAGTAACTATTTTTAAGTATCAATCTTTTAAATTATGGGAAAAAATAAAAAGTATATTTGCAAACTAGCATGTATAATTTCGGGTGTACTTACCTTTACAGGAATATTTATTTTTCCATCCAGCTTTAAGTTCCTGTTTTGTGTCCTTTCATTTCACCTGTAGGCCACTCTTGAGGATTTCTCAGAGCTGGCCAGCAGTCACCAACTCCCTTGGCTTGTGTTTATCTGAGGATGTCTTAGTTTTGAAGGACGATTTTGCTTGAAACAGGATGATGCTTGATTAAGGGTTTTCTTTCAGTACTATGAATAGATCGATCACTATTCATAAGATATCTGTTGATAAGATATCTGTTGATGTTACTGAGGACCCCTTGCATGTGATGATTTGCTTCTCTTTTGGCTTTGAAGATTCACTTTTTGTCTTCAGCTTTTGGAAGTTTGATTATAATGTATGCTCAGTTGTGGGTGTCATCAAGTTCATAGTACATGGAGCTTGTTAAACTCCTTGGATGTTTATATTCATGTCTTTCATCAAACTGGCCATTCTGTCTCTGTGCCTGTCCTCTGCTCTTCTCCTCTGGAACTCCCACCGTGTAGTCGTTGGTTTTGATGGAGTCCCGCAGATCCTTGTTCATGTCAACTTCTTTTCTTTCTGCCCCAGATTCAATGACATCCATTTCTCTGTCTTCAAGTTCACTGATTCTTTCTTGTGCCTTTGACTCACATTAGTGAGCTTTCCTTTTTAGTTTCTGAACTTTTCAGGATTTCTGTAGCTTCTTTTTGTTTCCTGTCTCTTTACTGACATTTCCATGATGTTCTCACAGTTTATTTTTCTCAACATCTCCTCAGCTCTTTGATCATTGTTAGGACTGTGTTTTAAAGTATGTTTAATGCATCTGCCATTTGTCAATACAGATTCCTCAGAACTGTTTTTTCTTTCAACAGGTATAATTTCTGCTTCTCTGTATGCATGTGATTTGTTGCTGAATGCTGGACATTTTAATTTACTATGGAAATCAGACGGCTCCTTCCCCAGGGCTTGCTGACCCTGTGGCTTGGGTTGCTGTGGACTGTCTCTGTGCTGAGGGTCAGCTCACAGTTTTAGACTCTTGGGTCTTCTCCATGCCAGTCCTTGGGCACATGTGCCCATTTTCTCATTTCCCTGGGTGCGGTTGTTTTTGAGGCCATAGGCCTTAGTGTCTAATTCCTAAATGGGGAAATGCAAAAAACCCCAGCCCAGTGAATACTCAGTCACCTCGGCCAAAGGAAACGGGGTTTAGGACAATGTGGGGGGGCATGCAGCAGCAATAGGGCCACCTCTTTGTCTGCACCTCTGATCAGAAGCAGCCATCAGGGGTCCTTCCTCCCACCCTGGCTCACACGCCATGTGCCAGCTGCTCAGGGAACATGCACAGCTGCTTGCAGGGGTGAGGGTGGGGCAGCTGTTACTGGACTAAGCTGGAATTGGCCAAAATCAACCTCAATTTACCATCCAATCCTTAACAGGCTCCAGACTGCCTAACAGCCACAGACAGATTCGGCCCCACAGTTGTTGTCTTCTTTGTGCCTCCCCCTGGCCCCATTGTGCCCTGCTGTCTGTGCTCTGCCCAAGACGCAGCAGTTGTACAGACCTCGTCACACTCCCTGCCCTTGTCCTCCTGGCTTCGTGTGGCTGCAGGGCCATGGGAGCATGAAGGCACTACCCCCCATGGCCCTGGCCCAAGTTCTGGCTGTGCTACAGATTCTCTGCTCCTGGCCACTTGAAACTCAGCTCCTAGCTCCAGGTGAGCGCAGGGAGCCATGAGGTCCACCCCTGAGGCTCTGTCCCCGCTGCACATGTGGGTGTGCATAGGTGTTGTGTGTGGCTCCCTGGCACCCGCTTCCTGGCATCTACTGTGGGGCACCAGCTCCCTGTGGCCTCCTCACAGCCTGGTACATGCTTCCAGGAGGAGGAGGAGCTCACAGGCCGCCGCCCAGCCTCCAGCACGTGCAGTGGGAGAACATCTTCCTCTCTGCTGATGGCAGGAGGCAGGTCCATCCAGTTACCCACACAGCCTTGGGGAATCTGGAGCCTCATTGTTCTCACTCTTTCAGGCTGGTCTCCCAGCACCACAGGTGGCGAGCTGGCAGGCACTCCCCAGGCAGCGCGTGCCCATTTCCCTCCACTGAGCCCGCATGCCTCACAGCAGCTCAGCCACAGATGCTGCTACAGCCACCAGCCTCAGCTTCCTCCCCAGCGCATTTGTTAGCTCCAGGAGGGAGGCCTCAGCCAGCCCCCTCGACACCTGGTCAGCGGTCCTCACCTGTGGGAAACGCTCTCCAGTGCAAGACTGGCCATAGCGGGGCCCATGGCTCAGTGTGCTCTGGCCAGGTCCTGTGTCCATCGGCATGGACAAGGCCACACGGGATGAGACCTGCACAGTCCGTGGCCTGTTTCCTGCAGGCTGTCCCCCACTGTGGCCTCAGCTGATGGAGCTGTTTGTGAGCTGCGGCTGAGACAGGGAAAGGGCGTGGTATTCCTAGCCCAGCCTGCGGGACACTGTATCACCATGCAGAGCAGGGTGGAAGGTGCACTGCCGGGGCTGGCCTGCGGGCCCTGGAGTGGGTGCACTGACCTCTCCCAGGGCCGCATTCCCCTCCACAGGCGAGACCTCAGACAGGCTCCAGGAGGTGCCCCTGCCCCTGATCTCAGTGTTCCTGTGCCAGCAGCTCCTCGGCCACCACTCGTACATCCTGCCAGACATGCTGTGTGCATGGGACCTCGGGAAGACACGGACAGTGTGTGAGGTGCGTCCCTCCGCGGGGCAGGCCTGCCCGGGCTCCCAGACGCTGTCTGCTCAGAGCAGGGACACAGGTACTGGGTGGGAGGCCCCCGGTAGCTTTTATGCAGACAGGCGCAAGCTGCAGTCGGCGCCCAGGCTCCCGAGGTGCCCAGTGCTGGCCCAGCAGCCCAGGCTCCACGTCTGCCTGGACGGCTGTGCCAGGTCTTCCCCGCAGCACCGCCCTCCACTGCAGCTCAGTGGGCCATCCCCAGGATGCAACCTGGAAAGCCGGGTGCACAGGAAGCTCCTCTTTTCCAGGGTGACTCGGGAGGCCCGCTCGTCTGTGAATTCAACCACAGCTGGATGCAGGTCGGCGTGGTGAGCTGGGGGCGCGGCTGTGCGTACCCCATGTACCCGGCCGTCTTTGCGCGCGTCTCCTACTTCTCGATGTGGATCCACCGTCAGATCGCGCGCTTGCCCCTGCCCCCTCAGCCCCTCCCAGCGTGTGCCTGCGCTCCCAGGGCCACGCTCACCATCCTGGTGACCATGCTGGCCATCGGGTCAGTGTGCTAGGGCCAAGCACCACCCCGCCCTCTCAGTGCGGGCCTTCGCGACCTGCCCCTGCCCAGTCCATCCACCAAGGCTTGGGACACTGAGCCAGGGGAGGGCTGCGAGCCGGGCCCAGACTCAGGGCTGGGAAGGGCTGGCCGGGGCCACAGCAAGAGGGCAGAGGCTGGCCTGGGCAGAGGCTGGCCTTGCCAGAGGAGGTCCGGGGTGCCCAGGGCAGGCAGGACATCTTGGTGCCTGTGAGCTAGCAAGACAGTAAATAAAGCAAGTGCCCCAGAAGCCCCACACCCATTTTTCTACCCCAGTGCCGGTCGGTGGCTCCTGCAGCCTGCCTGCCCCTGTCAACGGCCCCAGTAGGCGGCAGGACAAAGGGCCCATGCCCCACGCAGCTGTGGGCCCTGCTGCCCTAGGAGCCCTGCAGAGGGCCAGTCGTGGCCCCACCGCTCCCAGGCCCTGTCAGAGAGGTGCAGGCACCAGAGCCCCAGCTGAAAGCCCCACACAAGCGGACACGAGGCACAGCTAGGGCTGAAGGCCACAGCAGAGGCTCAGCCCGCCCTGCAGCCCTGGAGGCGTGAACTGTCTGGACTCTGAAAAAATAGTTTAAAGTGGAAAAAAAAAAAAAAAAAACACTGACCAAAATATAAAACCATAGGGAGAACAGGAAACAAGAGGCGACCAGGTTAGTCCCTCAACACCAAACATCTCTCTCACAAGAGCACTTCCGTGCTCCGTGCATTTAAAAAGTGAAAAGTTTCACTTTTTAGGAAATAAATTATTTACCGTACCTAACCCCAGGAGTGCTGGAAATAGACAAGCTCATCACAGAAACCGGGAACCTGTGAGCCCCCCCGACACCTGGTCAGCGGTCCCTATCTGTGGGAAACTCCTTCACATTTGAGTTGAGCCCTAGGCCGAGGCTTCCTCAGCCACGCCTTAGCCCCGGCGCCAGACTCCTCCCTTCCCGCGGGTGGGAGCCCAGCAAGGGCCAGCAAGCAGCAACCACCTGCGCCTTGCAAGACAGCACATCACAGCTGAGCAGGTCACCCCACCATCCAGGCTGCGTATCGGGGAGCCGGGGCGTGTGGGTCGCACACTAACCACTCCTCACGGCAAAAATAGCAACAGAGAGGTTTGCCCGAAATCCAGCTATTTCCAGTGTTAACAAGTGGCGAGTCCGTGGGAAATGCATTAAGTAGACCCTCAGTGTTTCTGGGGTCCCAGGAAGACTGCCCCTCATCTCCTGCCCCTCAGCACCCAGGGGCCAGCAGCCAGCAGGGAGCCTTGGCGCTTCCATGTCTCCTTGGCAGGGAGGAGCAGCGGGAACCACACCGCTGTGGGCAGTGAGGACCGCCCCATGGCGAGAAACCCCGTGAGGGGGGCCTGGCCCAGCTAGCTCCTTCTGGGTAGAGGGCGGAGTCCCCTACGAAAGGGAGGGAGGGAGGGCGCCAGAGCCTCAGCAGCAGGCACCAGCCCGCCCCCGCCCCCCGGGAGCGCTCAGAGTGCTCTTTAAAAGAATCCGTTGAACAAATTGAAACAGCCAGTGTCCTCAGATTAGTTCAGACCCCCAGCCAGGTAAGTTGATGGCCAAGTGTACATTCAACCCAAACCAGCAGGAGAAAACCTTCATGGGAAGGCCTGGGATATGGAAGTGAGGTGCACCGGCAGATACCAGAACATCCTGTGGGGGCGCTGGGCTGTCACTTGTCCTGGGGCCGGGGCACACCCCTGTACAAAACACTCTGAGTGGGCACAAGCGCACCTGCGAAATGGAAACGCCAAGGGCATGCAAGGCCGCAAGCGTGCAATTTGACCTGTCCAGAGAGAGTCCTGGCCAAGTAGCCTTACTCTGGGGGGGTGAGCCCCCGAGTAGCCTTACTCTGGCTTGAGGGTGGGGGGGCAAGCTGTGCAGAGCAGGCTTTCTGAGGGAGCAAAGGGATGAGGCTGGGGACCCAAAGAGGGCAGCTGGGGCGCAGGTTGAACACCCTCCTCCTTGCCACACAGACATAGCGGGGAAGGAAACGCAAAGCCACTCAGGCACGGAGTGCAGACCGACACCCCTGAGACACAGACTGCGTGTAAATAATGTTACCTCAATAAACAACTAGTTAAAAAAGCTTTTGTGTAGCAAGAAAATAAAAGATTGAAAAAACATCCTCTCGAGCCGGAGAGACTTCACGAGCCGTGTAACCCACAGGGTCAGCGTCCACCACATCAACGCAAGCACAATCCAACATGGAAACAGACGCACCAGAGGACAGCCCGGTCAGCAGGCCGAGGACTCGGTCGGGCCGCGTCCAGGAAGAGAGGCGGGCCAGAGTCCGCAGCCTCACACCCCTGAGAGGCGGAAGAGAGGAGCCTGGTGCTGAGGCACGTGTGAGCTGCTGTGGCCACTGCGGGGGGCCAGAGAACGGGCAGGGGGGTGTTTTCAGGCTTGGAGGGGGGCTGCAGGGGGCTGGGGGCACCCCAGGAGGTGGGGTGGGCCACGCCGGGGCAGCAGCCGGCACTGGTAGCAGCCTGGGCAGTTAGAGGAACAGCGGCCGGCCCCCTTTTCCACGTCCAGACCCCCGCGGGCTGCGTGAATTCTGCGCTGGGCTTCCCAAGGGCCACGACAGCCAGGGGTTCCTGCAGATGAACCTCACAAGCCCCATCCCTTTGGAAAGCGTTTCCTAAGAGGTTGACAAGGGCTGAGTTTAAGGCCCGTATCAAAATCACTGGGGTCTCACGCAGCAGCAAACCCCTGAAAATATGTCTTAAAAACACAGCAGCAAGAAGCTCGAGGGACTGCACGCCGGGGTCTGCGCTCCCTGCTGCTTGGTGGGGTGGGGGGGGGGGGTGTGGAGGATGGTGTGGGTGGGGACAGAGAAAAGGCCTTGTGCTCCCCTGAGATGGACCTCACCCATTGCCCTCCTGGGACAGCTGGGCACCCACTGGGGCGCTCCAGCAGGAGGGGCTGGCCTGGGCCCCAAGGTGCTTGGGGCGCAGGGGCCACCCTCCCCTGGATGAGGCTGGAGACCCCCTCCTGGGCCCAAGAGGAGGGCTCCCCTGGCCTCAGAAAGCCCCTCACCCTTCCCTCAGAGCCTCTTTCCCCCTCTGCAGCCTCTCCTGGAGGCTTGAAGAGCAGGGTGCCCCCACAGCCAGGGGAGCTGAGGGTGGGATGGGGCCTGGAGGCTGGGGCAGGGTTAGATGGGTCTGGTCCCCCACAGAGGCGGGACCTGGGCCTGTCCTGTCTCTGGGTGCTCCCCTGCCCCAGCCCTTGCGACTGCAAGAGGTGGGGGGGCTGTGGCGGGGGGGCTGTGGCCAAGGGCGGGGTGTGCTGGGGCGCCCCAGCCACTCCGCCCTGAAGAGGTAGGGGCTGCCAGACGCCCTCCTGACCAGAGCCAGCCTAGCTCCCAGCTAAGTGGGACTACTACTCCACTACTGACGAGCCCCACCCCAGGGACGGATCGCCGGAGCAGGCCTCCGGGAACCGCTGGCCGCGCCCTGGCCCTGGCCCTGGCCCTGCCGGGGGTGGCAGCTGGTCCTGAGGCCAGAGGGGTGCGTGGTCGGCGACTGCCCACCCGAGCCATCTCCCATGGCCGGACCCTCCGGAGCCAGACCCTCCCAGCGACGGCCGGGGGGTCAGGCGGGGTCGGCAGCCAGTGCCTGGGATTAATAAAACGTTGATGGGAATTTCATAGTCGACACAGCCTAAACATTTTCCAGGAACATCTGCGGAGGAGGCGTGTTTACACTCCCGGCCTCCAGGCCGCTCCCTCGGTGGAGGGCCCCCAAGGCCAAGCCTCCCCCACTCCGCAACCCTGCCCCCCACGCCCCTCCCCCACCCTCCCTGCACCCCCACTCTCCCCCGTGCCCCCCTTTACTTGTGCCCCTCCCCCACTCTGCCCACCTTCCCTACCCCCAGCCCCTCACTCACAGCCGGCTGGCGTAGGGGGCGGGGGAGGCAGCGGGAGGGGGTCCTGCAGCAGGGAGGGGTCCTGGCTTCTGCTGGGGGGCTGGGCTGGGGTGCCTTTGGCTTTCACCCACTAAGACTGGGTCTGGCCTCTCCCACCTGGGCCACCCACCTGCTGGCGTGGGCTCCGGGGGACGCGGAGGCGGCCGCAGCTGGCGCGGTGGACCTGGGCCGCGAGGGGTCTGGGCGGAGGCCACCCTGGCATTGTGGCCAGCTTGGCAGCACTTCAGGTGGGCTGGGGGCTGGGGAGGTTTGCCAGAGGACGCCAGGGCCAGTGTGGACAGAGGGCAGACCCTGGCCACTGGGGTTCGGGCGCTGGATGCCGGAGGCCTGCCCCTGCCCTGTCCAGCGGTGGTCCCTGTGGCCCTGGGTGTATTTTCCTTTTCCTCTTCTCAGGCTTTCCAGCAAAATGCAGCAGAGCAGAGGCCACTTCACCTCCCTGTCCTTGGACAGGGCCTGCCGTTGCCTCTGCCTCCCTGTGGCCTCTGCTGCCCCCCGCCCAGCCAGTGCGCCTGACATTGAGGGAAGGCACATCTGACCAGGAGGGGTGGGTGTTGCCCCCTTCAGCCAGAACTGCAGGGCAGCCCTGGGGTCCCCACGCCCGGCCAAGGTGCCCCTGGGCCACAGACAGGGCCGCACCCCAGCAGGCTCTGGGATGAAGCCAGCTGGGCCATGGTGGCGGTGGCGGCCAGCCCCTGCAGGAGGTGTGGACAATGCTGGGGTCCAAGGCAGCCAGGCTGTGACACCCCCTTCTCATTTGCTGTCGCAGCTGATTTGTCTCCTGCCCCCACCCCTCTCTGGCCACCCCTCCCCTCCCACAGGCCAGGGTGTGCCGTGGAACCAAACGCCAGGAAACCACCTCCAGGTCTTGACAGCCCAGGGCCACGGCCAGTGCCACAGGGCAGGAGCAGGGCCCTGGGGCACGGGGGCTATCGGGGCCCCCCGGCCGTATTGGCGGGACCAAGGGCTCAGATGGCGTCTCTGTCAGCCCAATGCCCAGGACCTGGGGGGTGGGGTGCCCTCTGCAGGCTGCGCTCCTCTCCCGCCCCCACCTCCCTCCCTAGGGCCTGCTGAGCGCCCCCACTCTGTGCAGCGTGTCCTGGCCACTTCTGTCCTCCATGTCCCGAGCCCCGGGCCCTGCGGACCCCTACTCGGGTGCACAGCTCCCACCCAAACAGCTCCTGGCCACCCAGCCCCCCCCATGGCCCCCATCCACCCTCACTCTGAATGCCTCCCTACCCCCAAAGGCACAGGAGGCACCCTGAGGGCCCCACACAAGTCCTCCTCCTGCCAACTGCCCAGGGTTTCCAGGGGCTTATCCCTAGTGCCCACTGCAGCTCGCTGCTGCAGCCACCGAGGCGCCCCCACCAGACCCTCCTGCCAAGCCACAAGAAGGGCCCCTGGCCCCACTGACCAGTCTGCAGGGAGCAGGGCACCCGTGAGAGGGGCACGGCGGCCCCAGCCCCCAGCCCCAAGGTACTGGGTCAGGGCCTCTGGCCAGTGTGCCCAGGACACCCTTGGCTGGGCCCTGGGCTGAGAGGCCATGGGGACGGCCACGCACCTGGCCCCCAGCCTGTGATGTGAGGCCCCGCAGGGGTGGGAGAAGGGTTCAAGGAGCGCCCACAGCCAACAGCCCAGAGCCCAACTGGAGGCTGCGGCCCCCACAGGTCATGCCCACACCTGGGAGCTGGGGCAGGGTGGGTCAAGGGGCAGGGACAAAGCCCCCCCGCCCACAAGTGAGGGAGCTGGAGCCCTGGCCTGCAGCAGCCCTGAAGACCCCCATCTCTGGGCTGCAGCATATCCCCTGCCCGTGCCAGCCTGTGTGCAGGTGGGGAAACTGAGGCCCGGGGGCAGCCAGGAGAGCTGCCATGCGGCGCCCTCAGCACACAGCCTGGCTGCACATGTCTGGGGCATACCCACTGGTCAGTGAGGGCTTCACCCTGGCTCCCTCCCTGCCCAGCAAAGCAGGGCAGTCT